CGCGGTATTGCTTTTCTTTGTTTTAACATATGCATATGCGCCTTCCGGTCTTGGACCAAGTATTTCCTGGGTAGCCAACTAACATCCCATGCGGTTGTGCGTAAGGTTTGGAACAATCCCCGCAAATGTTTTAGGGATTACGACTTAAGGCATGCACCTGGAATGTCCGGTCCCTTTTTGTGGGAATGTGCCGCTGCTCAGCTGGTTGATGTCGGCACAACTATCGGAAAATTCAGCCTCTACGATGAAACATCCCCAAATGGGTTGAGGCTGATCGACATCGCCGGGGCTCGAAGTATAGTTGTTTGTAGCACTAAATATATATAATTGGCGCTTTGTAACAGCTGAAGCGATTTTCGGCCGAGCTCCTCCTCCAATTTGTGGTTTTGTGCCTTTTTGTTTTTCCAGCAAATGGAAGGACGTACAGTTTATATTAAGCCGCCTCCGAACGGCTGATGGTTTTTTATTAGGAGCTTTATTTCATGTCAGTACCGCCAAATCTTGGAAAAGATCCATGATTTTAAAGCCAGCACGAAAAGGACAACACCAGAAGCGCAGTCAGAATTTGAAATGACCTCTCCGAGTCAATCGGTACGAAACGAGGCTTGAGACAGGATGACTCTTTGTCATGTGATTTCTTCAATTTGATCTTGGGGAGAATAATGAGAGTCACAATCTTCTAAAAGAGTGTACAGCTGTTGGCATACGCCGATGATATTGATATTATTGGCCTCAACAAACGCGCCGTTGGTTCTGCTTTCTCCAAGCTTGATAAAGAAGCGAAGCGAATGGGTCTGATAGTGAACGAGGGCAAGACGAAATATATCCTGTGATCAAACGAACAGTCATAGCGTTCGCAGCTCGGCTCCTACATCACCATTGACAGTCAGTCCTCCGAGGTCGTAGATAATTTCGCCTATCTAGGCACCAGCATCAACACCAATAATAATGTCAGCCTTGAAATCCAACCCAGAATTACTCTTGCCAACAGGTTCCCCTATAGACTGAGTAGGCAATTGAAAGGTCCTCCATCGGCGAACGAAAAGCAAACTCTACAAGTCGCTCACCACACCCGTCCTTCCATGTGTCGCAGAGGCGTGGACGTTGTCAAAAGCTGATTAGTCGGCTCTAAGAGTTTTCGATAGAAAAGTTTTGCGAACGATTTGTGGTCCTTTTCGCATTGGCAACGGTGAATATCGCAGACGATGAAACGATGAGCTGTATGAGCTATACGATGATATTGAGTTAGTTCAGTGAATGAAGAGATAGCGGCTACGATGGCTAGGTCATGAACTCCGAATGGATGAAAGCACTCCAGGCTTGAAAGTATTTTATGCAGTACCCTCTAGTGGAAGCAAAGGAAGGAAAGGAGAAGAAGAGATAAATGGCGCGCTATAATTAATTCGGCTATGATTGCGTAAGCGGTGCAAACGCCAGCAAAGAAGAATAAGATATTAAGGCCGACTTTTGTGTACATATACGCGCCATTACACACAAAGTGTCGATATAATTACTTTTGCAATCATTTATTTTTTTAATTATAATCTAAATCCTACTTAAGGAGGATCATATGGACTGCGTTAAAAAATTTCACCAAAAGTACGCATTTCAATGTCTTTGTATATATAAATACGCATACTTGGGAAAGATTTAAAGTTTGTTAGTTAACTAGATTTTTCTTTATCTTAGAACTTAATTAAGAATACTCTTACAAATTAAAGTTCTCGGTCTTCAATATTTTTCGGATATTACATTTGTATCATATTTACAAACAATGTATTTACTTTTCCGTATAGGAAGTGTTTTATTGACTTCTGAAAGTATAGGATCTAGAACATTATAAATTATGTTAATAAGTCATCAGAAATCAATTTGATGAAATACAATAAGGAGAGCAAGGTATAATGATGGGTAATTTTCTTTGCTTTTCAATTGAACACTATAAAATACAAAATTATGTAAAAGTGGCACTAATCGCGATTTTTAGGTAAAAATAATAATGAAAATGAATTTATTGGCGTTAGCACCGCTTACGCGATTACAGTCGAATCAATATTAGCACGCCATTCATTTATCCTACGGCACGATATCCTAAATTACCAGAATATTAAATAAAATTACAGTTGTCTTGTACGCACGGAGCTCCCTGCGGTAGCATCCCAATAGAAACTGCTTGCACAGCAAAGCATTATGCTCCTTAACTCGTAGCATAGATGCCTGTAACTTCTTCATCTGCGTTTCGTTCGTCGCCGGCGCCCAGATCGGCGCAGCATAGTTTACGACAGGGCGGCCAATTGCTTTATAAGTAGCCAGCAAATTTTCTTTGTATTTAGCCCAGGTGCTGCCGGCTAGCGCTTTGAGTATTTTGTTGCGGCTCTGGAGTTTCGCGGCAATTGCGGAGAAGGAGTGCAGGCTGTCTAGGGTTACTCCCAATATTTTCGGGTTATTTACCGTCGGAATTTTTGTGTCATCGACCTTCACATCTAGTTCAAGCCTGTACTCCTTCGTCCAGCTGGTGAAGATGGTAGCCGAGTATTTCGTCGGTTGAATTTGTAGCTGTCTTGCAGTGAAGAAGTGGCAGAGATCAGCGAGGTAGCCGTTCACTTTCGAACGGAGGTCATCAATATCCTGGCCAGACGTCATTATCGTACAATCATCGGCATAAGAGGTTAGGAAAACTCTTTCTGGTGGTGGAGAGAGTTTCGAGATGTAAAAATTAAATAGTAGAGGGGAGAGGACACCACCCTGCGCAGCTCCCTGTTCTATTTTTCTGGGTTTAGATGTTACACCTCAGAAAATTACCGATGATTGTCGTCCACACAGGTAGCCCATGACCCACCTCTGCAACCCCGGCGGTAATGAGGATTCCTCAATGTCCGTTAGTAGCACTGGGTGATTGACTGTGTCAAAAGCTTTTGACAAGTCCAGTGCTACCAGGACAGTTCGCGCGGTTTTGGTTAAGGCCATAGACTATCTTTGTGTTTATGGCGTTAAGTGCTGTTGTGATGCTGTGCACTTTTCGGTAGCCATGCTGATGCGCTGCTGGACGCAGATGGTGAGTGAAGGTCGGGAGCAGTAAGGCCTCAAGTGTCTTCGCTAATGGCGAGAGGAGAGTTATCGGCCGATAGGACTCTCCTTTGTTGGCTGGTTTCCCGGTTTAAGTAGTGGGACCACCCTACCCATTTTCTACACATCGGGTATCTTCAGGGTGGTCAGAGACAAATTGAGGACCCTCGAGAGAAATTCTGCTCCCGCTGGTCCTAGGTGTTTCAGCATCAGCATGCTTATTCCGTCGGGGCCGATGGATTTGGAAGCTTTCGCCTTCCCGATGACCCCCTGAGCCTCCTCCCTGGAGAAATCAAGCACAGCGCTGTTGTTTGGCAGTTTGCGCATACGGCTGGTTACATGTCGTTTCGCTTTGTCTACTGAGGGATGCAGTATGACAAGTCGGCTAAAATGGCTTACGCTTCTCTTCGGTTCCGACGAGGCGCGAACACCGAATGAAATTTTCATCCGACCATCGCGGAGCGTCGGGTTAGACACCGACTTGACTGTAGCCCAGAACTTGGTTGCCCCAGAGGAGAGGTTGCAGGTCCTTAGGTGCTCCTTCCACTTTTTCTGCCTGTGATTGTTGACTACTCTTCGAATCTCCGCGTTTAAATCCCTGGTTAGAGGATTCCCGAGCTCTGCGAGTTCTGCTTTCTCCACACTGGGTAAGGAAGCGAAGGATAAGGGTCTGGTAATGAACGAGGACAAAACTAAATGTCTCCTGTCATCACACAAACAGTCATCGCATTAGCGACTCGGCTCCCACATCCCTATTGACAGTCATTACTTCGTGTATCTAGGATCCAGCATCAAGACCAGCAACAATGGCATCCTGGAAATCCAATGCAGAATCACTCTTGCCAACAGGTGCTACTTTGGACTGAGCAACCAATTGAAAAGTAAAGTCTTCTCTCGGCGAACGGAATCAAAACTTTAAAAGTTGCTCATCATACCCGTCCTACAATACGGCGCAGAAGCGTGGACGTTATCAATATCTGATGACTGGGCTCTAGAAGTATTCGAAAGCGACCTGGCTTCAGTTGGTATTTCCAACTGGCGCCAAACAGCGAAAAGAAGAGATGAATAGCTCCATAATATTGAGAATAGGAATAATCTATATTATTTTTGAGATACTTCCTTCTAACTTTGTAAAATTTTACAAGCTTAGGGCTATCTATTTCGTGATTTAAAAGCCAAAGTGTTACACCAAACATGTTTTGTTTTAGGTCAGAGGCAAGACGTGATTACGCATTCAGGAAATTTCTTTCGCAATGATGCCATAGTCGCTAATATTAAGTGGCATGTAGCGCTATCTTGTTGCAACCAATCACAACTCCGGGGCAAAGATCACATCAGCTTTTATGTTTGTTTTGAGTGTAATGGATCTATGTCTACACTTTCACTGTAGCACCTGTAGCGATTTTGAGGTGGAACCAGCAAAACGATTGCTCAGACTTTACAATATCTATAATATCTGTAATTTCGTTAAAAATTTGCTACACCATAATCTCCTCTTAAACAACAAAACGTGTTCACGTTTAAATTACCATTATTGTAGTAAGTTTTAAACATTTTAACGCGTTGTGCGGTTGTTAAGCTATCCATTTTCACTTTCAACTAAAATAAAACAGGTGTGAAAGTACAGCATTGTACTTTTGAAATCACGAAATCGAATTTTATGAAAACCAAATCTTGTGTTCGTAGCTCACATGCATCGTTGGTTTGCTTTTTGTTTCATAAAATACCTTTAATGGAGCACCAATTTTTATTTGGAAAACTTAAGCAAAGAATTATTTTTGACCTCATGGAAATTATCTTAATTGCACAATTTCGATACTAATATACAAAGAAGTGGCATCGGAAATTTAGGGCGAATTTAAATTCTAGAGATAATATATTATATTTAATTGTGAATATCCCTCATTCAAAAATTTAATAGCAAATAAGCTTACCTTTGACGGTTGTGGCACAGAGGTTTGAACCTTTAGTATGTCACTTTTAGGTTCATCTTTATTTTCAAGTTTATCCTTTTTGCTCTTTTCAAATTCCATTTCTTCATATTTCTCTATATCAGGACGCTTATATTTGTCGACGCTTATTGGCAAACCTTCAGGTTTTTTTAAAACATAAATCTTGGTCTTGCCAGGCGCACTCATCATCTTGCCTTCTTTCACCGTTTCCTTAAAAATATGCGCGTTTAGAAGTATATACATACATATATGTTACACAAAACAATTGCAACTTTTAAAAGTATTGCAGTTTCGAGTTGAGTTATACAAGAGAGAAGTTGCACGAAGGGTAACAAAAATATATTTATGAAGCAAGTACAAAAGCAAATTTGGCGTATTAGAAGGAAAGAGTAACAAAAGACAGTTGATATCTGATATTGGCATCATTTGCCGACTTATACTAAAACAAAAAGTATATATGCGTCGAAAAATTAAAGTGCGAGAAACAGTTGACAGAAGTATAGTGAGGAGCTGTAAGCTATAATGTACTAGACCAAAAACGTAAACAAGTAGAATATAGACCGTCATAGCTTTATCACAAAAAATCAAAGAAACGAGAGAGCAAAAGAGATAGAAAGCAAGAAAGAGAGTGAGACGGAGAGAGTTTCCCTTTCTAGTTACCTTTAGCATTGCTTGGGTTTGCTGTGGGTCGTGCTCATCTTTTAGGTCTTTTGTTACTGGCTTTAGAACAACACCCAAAAAGCTTTCGTTTTCAATAGGCTCTTTTGGCATTAGATTTCGCACCGACGAGCGACGGCGTTGATTAATAAGCCCCTTAAGTGATTGACTACCGTCCTGAAAATGCTTGTTTGCATTAAGAATCTTTATTTGTTTGAAAGAAAAATCTATGTTATTTACGTTTAACAAGCATTTTTCATTAGCAGTAGCCGACGAATTTTCACTTCATTTTTTTAGTTTATTGTGTATATAAAATCTGGTTAAAATTTTTTTCAAGCATAATATTTCATTTGAAATTTTGAAGAAGAGTATATTTTATATAAAAGTTTAGAAACGAACTACCGAAATACTATCTATACTAAGCCTTTAAATAAAAAACCGAAAAAAGGATTTAAAATATTTACGCAGATATTTGCAGTTATTTGTTTAATACGTATTATTGAGAGTGAATTGGCATTCCATAGTTAGAAGATGGACTTACCTCAGCTGGAGCAAAATTTTTTGGCGCCTTTGCCTTTTTAATTGGAAGGTTTGTGCGTATGTGGTTGTATTTCAAGGGACGGCAAGTTGTTTTTCCACAGAGATGATATTTTAATTATGGTTCATGGAAGAGGGGAAATATTAATTGAAATACAAATACACTTAAGGATTAAAAACTAATATAAATTATACATATACACAACATTGTCTTGCAAACAGTAACAGACGCTACATACCTCTGGTTCGATAATTACTGGGCGCAAAGACGCTGAGTCAACACCAGTCATGTCTTCTGGTATTTTGCCTTTGCCTACTTTATGGCCTTGGGGCTGTTCAACTGGGATGTGATCAACATTCTCTTTCTATATCAGTATACAATAAACAAACATTTACACAATTGGAAACATTAAAAAGACATAAAGATCATTTTAACAAAGGATAACGAAAATTTAGAGTTATGAACTTATGAATATGTAATATTGACTTTCGCTGATAATTATCAGCAACTTTGCTTTTTTGGCAAAGGAAATCGCCATGTGAGCTCAGACTGTTTTGATTGTTCTTTAATAAACTATGATGTTTATGCATACTAAAAATTTAAACGATATGTCTCAAATCTAGCCAGCATTACTTGCAAGTCTCTGAAGAAAACGCTATAACGATTTAAATAATTTTTCTCGAATATGAGTTAAGGAGATTTATTTGTATTACGCTTTGTGCGTTTGGATAATAGGGAGAAAAGGAATTGTCTTAAGCTGATGGAATTCTATGATAAACCATTTCTTCATTTTCATTTTAATTTCTTATCAGATATATACTCGGCGGAGCTGACATTCTATCTAAGAGGCATCCGTAAGAACTTAAACCATATTTGCTAAGTAGTTTTCGTACCTTCGCCACACCATTTTTCAATACAACTTTTTCAGGTGCCTTTTCCTCTATTTCCAATACTGGCTTATCCATTTTTGAAGGTATGTCAAGTTCACGACCAAAATCACTTGCTTCGAAATCTGACTTTTCATATTTTTCCAGCACTGGTCTTTCATAGTCTGGAATCTCTGGTAGTTCCTCATATTTGGGCTTTGTCTTAGGTTTCGCTTTCGCTTTAGTCTTAGCAGGCTCTTGTTTTGATTCTTCTTTTGGAGTGGCTATAGAGGTCTTACGTAACTTTGGTAGCTCTTCCACTATAGCCTTCTCTTCTTGCACTTGCTGAAATTTTTGGGAAAATCAACTTGTAGATAAGAGTTAACATTTAATACGAATAAAAAAACATAATATCTTTAGTTTTTAAGAGCACAATATTTAATATTAGTAACAGGAAGGAGAAACTTAATAATAATAAAATAGGAGAATACAATAAAAAAAGTGGACCACGCAGGCGAAGTATAACTATAATTGCTGTAGTAGATTGAAACGAGATAGGCTTATAGTAAGGAAAATAAAAAAGTATTATTTGAATGTACTTTTTTTATAAAGATATCTGGAGAAAGCTCTTGGTGAATTTTGGCAGGCTTATTTATATACATTATTGTTCTTTTGTAATCTTTATTTATGTTGTGCAAAATATATGTATATTCCCTTTAAGCTTCCGTAAAGCGCCAAAAAATTTATACTTAAAAAAATTTTACAGATCACAGAAACTTACTAGCCACGCCGCTAATAGTGGTTAAATTAGCGCACTTAATAGTAGTTGATTAATAATGAATTAAATAATACAACAATGATGTTGGCGCAGTGGCAGAACACTCGCCTGCTAAGTCAGAACCCGTTGGTTCGATCCCTGCCGTAAGAAGTCTGATGAGGAAATGTGGTGATCTCCGAAACAGCTGTGACTTCAACCATTTTTCTTGAATAATAAAGAATATTCAATTCATGCTAACGAACAAAAAAATAATAGTATGACCGCAAAAAGAATTATAAAAAAAATTTGTTTAAATAATAGTTCTCTAACACCGAGAAATCAGCTTAGTCGGTTTTACCGAAAAACCAAATCGCTGCTGATTTCTGCCGAGCACACAACATTTACTTCACTCTTTCTTGGGAGTGGCCGAGTAGCTATTATGCTGCAACTACCCATTTTACTTACCTTCCGTCCATAACAGCCGACTGAAAGAGGGGTATGCATACACGAGTTATCGACGCTACTGAGAGGGGCGAAATCTTGCCAGCTGCCAGTTTGTTTGCACACTTATGACCAAATTTATAATTTTCGTCTACAAATTTCAAAATTTATGTGTCGGAATTCAAACGCAAATCATATATTCAAAATCTCTATGGTAACAAATAATTAGTTACGAATTTAGTTTACATTTCTATTGAAAAAAAACTACGCATTATCTTCGATTATTTAATATAAGTTTAAAAAAGTCAATACTGGTAACCTTGTATAGCAACGAGAAATTAGCCGAGACGGATTTGCGGAAAAAAATCAAATCGCCGCTGGTTTATGTAGGACAACCGTGGGCAAGCGGTGACAACTTTGTTTTTACATGACGCTCTCATTAGATAGGTGGCTATGGATGGCAGGTAGGATGGATAGTTGCAGCATTAGAGGTGTTTATAGATATACTCGGTTTGGCTGCTGCACTGCTGTTAATTTGACAATGGAGTTTCTTAAATTTCTTATTAATGGTGGGGGAAATAAAAGACTTTCATTGAGGGGGAGTTAATTCTTTTTGAAGAAGATGCAAATCATTCTGATTTTCTTACAATATTTCTAGTCTTTATACGCAGATTCTACATTACATTTTGAATTTATAAAGAGGGAATAGAGACACTCAAAGTAACGAAAAACTGTAACACTTATTAAAGAGCGTCATAAATATACAAAGCCTAAATGCACGTAACGAATACTGACGTCGATTACGTGCATTTAGGTTTTGGCCGATTGCGACCTAGTGGCGTATATTGTCCAAAACTTTCGTTCGGGTGTCTTACACCCATGTTCATTGACGATGTAACTTATTTTATACATGTGCAGTTGAGTGTATACTGCGACATGGCGACAAGTCCCGCAAATTCCACTGGTTGGCAATGTTTTTTGTCTTATTTGTCGGAATATACTTGCAGCAAATATTTACATGCAATTCGTTTTTGTTTTCGCGACATCTCGAAAAATGAGGAGCGAGTAGTAATAGCAGTTTATTGACGGTGTAACAAAAAATATGTTCGTTGACAGTGGGTTAAATAAATCTCTGAATACCAGATATTTGTAAATTCAAAGTATATAGTAATTAAAACCTTGTTGAACTTCCTAAAGAGTGCGATTTATTTTATTGGCAGTATTAAGAGATAGAGATAGATAGAAAATATCCATTTCATTCAAGATTATATTAAGATATCTCACCTTTGGAATATTTCGTTTTTCAGCGAACTTAAGTTTTGGTATTTCTTCTTTAAATTGCTTTGGACTTTTATTCGCTTCAAATGTCTTATTTTCGGGTTTCTTTGGAAAGAACATACATATGTAAAAAAAATTTAAATGGATTTGGGATTTACTAAGATAACTAAGAAGCGATTAACTGTTTTTGGACACGGATACATCCGTAATATACAATAATATACAATAATAAAACTATAATATTATAATAAAACTATAACATGATACATGATATTAAGTTATGATGTTTTTTTAAATTAATAAACATGTATACATAAATATGTCATTGTTTAGCTAGTTGGTAACATATTTACCTCAAGTGCCGCCTTTTCTATAATGGATGATTTACGCGACTCCACGGTGCTCTGTTCAATTTGCTATAGAACCAAAGAATATACATCATACAAATAAATACAACGAAATAAAACATTTGTTTATACAAATCTACAAACAAACTATAAATTCAATACAAAACTATCACATTGAGACTTTTTGCTGGGCGATTCTGAGTAAATGTCGACAAAAATTATTTGTAGAACAGTTCTTTAAATTTGAAAATGTTAAGGGCCGAAAGATATTATAACAAGTTTCTAAATAGTGTTCTCATGCTATAGGGAATATAAGAGAAATTGTCCGCTTTACTATTTTTCGTTTCATTAAAAAGAAGAACTAGCTGCTTCTTTATAAAAAATTTTAGTACTAACTACACTAATATATACGAGGTATGAGCAAAAACTATCTCGACGAACACCAGTGTGCAGGGCATCAAGCATCATGTTCGACGGTCAATAAAGAATATCAATGGCAAGTTATGAACAACTTGCGCTAAGCAAACCGCCAGAAACGCTCAAACTCTTGGAAGGACAACAATTGGAATTCGACTTTTTTAACGCGCCTCCTCACAAATGGTTGCTTGCGCGCGACTATTTGTGCAAACACAACACTGTATTCCCAGATGTGGTTCTCTGTGACCTTTTTGTTCGCAAACTGAAGAGACCCATGAAAGGACCACGTTATCCTTCAATGGAGAAGAAAAATACTGTATGGAAAAATGGATGGAATGAAGTGACACATAATTAATTTTTAAGTGATTTGATTAATAAGTGCATTGTGATCATTTTTGTACATACCTCGTATTTTGGAAAAAAAAATGTATAGTTCCTAGAGAACGACATTTTCAATCAAAGATACAATATCTCTGGAACAATTAATAAGCAACGCTACAGTAGGGCTGCTAGTTACATACATTTATTTTACATATGTGTTTATGTATTGTTCACGAAACTGTTGGGCTGAAAATTTGAAATACTTACCACAAACGATGAGCGCCTGGATGACACTTCCCCGTCATCTATAATCGTAATTTCTTGCTTCTTCCCCAGAGCCTATTTATTCGGTTGAATTTTGAAATTTATGGAAAATACAATTCATATGAAAATATATTTCATATGTATAAGTACTCAATTCATTTATGTAAGTGCTCAAAATATAATAAATCAGAACATAATAAAAGAGAAACGCAATACCTTTGAAAAGGGTTAGTTTATGCATTTACGGTATTCATATTCGTTTTTTCAAATGATTATTCAGATTATTTGTTAGTATTTCAATTCATTTCATCTTATTCCACTTCATTACATTTTATTTATTTTCTTTTGCTTCATCTAATTACACCAAAGAACAAAGAAATTTGTTGAACAGACATCGAAGCTAGTTTGCACTCGATCCTGGAGCTCAAAATAAAAAACGAGGACAGAGATAACTAATTTCACCTGCTCTAAGTTTTCGTTATAAATAAACTTCCAATGCAGCAACATTACAGTTTGAATAAGAAAATAAAGCTAAATTAATTCAAAAGAATTTAGTATTTTGTCTCTTACCTTTCGTTCAGTTTTCCTAATGGCGGTTATTTCAGGTTGCATCTGTTGAAAATTGGAAAATATCGTTAATTTAAATTTAATTTTGACAATTTTACAACGGAATCGGGGCTTGGAAGAGTCTTAAATATATAAAATATTTATTTAGCATTTTAGATTTTACACACTTACAATATAATTATACAAATATTAGTTATGTGTGTATACAGTGTTATGGAAGGAAGTGAAATTAAATATCGATATTTTTAATGTATGTAAGTAGCTGTTTAGCTATTCGTTTTGGTAGCCCCATACGCCATGCACGCAGATATAGAGCATGGAGCTTTAAATTCACATTATTTGCCAATCGTTGAGTATTCTTACCTCTTTTGGCTCTTCCTCCGCTGGTTTTTTTTCTTTTGGCTTCTCTGAAATTTCTTCTATTTTTTCCCTTGCGTGCTCATGCGATTTCTTTTGTTCATCCATTATAAATTGTTCAATAATTTTCTTATCTTCTTTCTCAACATCTCTTGCTTTATCTTCGATATTGACGTTTTGCTCTTTCTTTGCTTCCTGGAACTCGGACTCTTTCGTTTCTTTCGGTTTCACTTCATTTTCCGGTTGGTATGCTTCTTCCTCTTCCTTTACACATGTACATATACATAGTTTTTATATAAATGGGAAGTAATGATTAAGGAGCAATTTAATGAGTACGTTTTGTATATTTGTGAATATACACCTAAAGTTTAAAGATGATAGCATATCAGCTGCTTAGCATATCAGTATGCTAACGTCACTGGTAGTCGAAGTTCAATTTATAAGCAAAATTTTAGTCATTATGTAGTTAAAATGCTACTTAAGACTATATTACAGGGGTCGCTCAAAAAGTATAGCGAATTTTGAATTTTCGCGGGCTAGGTGTATTTGATCTTCGCTTTTTTGTCGCGTTATGTTTGCGTTTGTTATATCCCTTAATTATGCTGACAAGGTCCTTATTTTGAACGTTTATTCAGTTACTTTGCTATTTTATTTTTGAACTTTTAGACATATTTTGTCGTGCCTGGAAAATGTCTGAACTGGATTTCGTCTGCCTAGATCATGTCTTTCGGGGTTTTGTATGTCGGGATTTTATTAGGCAACCTTTGTAGGGATTTCAATTGTTAATGAGTATAATGGTAGTTTATCAATTTACGTTAAAAACAAAAAAATCGAACATATTGCAGCTTATGCCCTTTTGGCAGTTAAAAATAAAGACGTTTAACACATATATGTAGATATTAAAGTATTGTCAAGGCCACATAACACGACACAATTATGAAATATGTAAGTAAGTCCCTGCAAATAAAAATTTCCCACATTACGAGTATATGTAAATTAGTTTACATGCACATACATGTAGTTAATCGTTGTCGCTTTTAAGCCCCCATTCCTTTTATTTATGCCCTTTCTATATACAGCCCTAATAATTATTACCTTTCGTTTCTCTTCTGCATCCTTTTCGATGTCTTTTTTCTTCGAATCCTTCTTGGCGACGGTGATTTTACAAATTGATTCCGTCTTACCAGCCTCATTGATTACTACCACCTTATAATTGCTGGAATGCTCTTGACGCGCTGTGCTAAAGGTTAAACGAGCATTAACACCGTCAAATGTGGTTGTGATCTCTTTAGTTTCTTTGATAAGTGTGACACCTTTGTACCATTCGATTTTACACTTGCGATCACTCTGTTTTAATGAAATCAGCAATTCAAATGACTTCGCTTCGGTTACAGTTTGATCTGCAAGCCTTTTAACAAGCTCTGGTTTAGTGGGCTTACGCTCCTCTTCTGGAATATCTATGAATTGGACAATCTGTGATACCGCCTCGCCCTTCTCATTGCGCGCTATCAATTTGTAGGAACCCTTATCAGTTTCCTCGACTTCATTGATTTCCAATTTGACAGCAAATTCGCCTTCCTTTGTTTGTTCGACGAGGTAAGCATGACGCTTGCTTTCGTTAACTGCTGTCTCTTCTTTGTACCAAGTGCACTTTGGCTCAAATTTGGAAGCTACTGTGCATTCAATAACCACAGCGCGTCTATTAATAATCTTTATAATTTTTGGCTTGTCTTTAATAACAGGAACGACTACAAAGAAAGAGAAAGGGTTAAAAATTGATTGACTACGATGACGAAAACTGAAAAAATAATACTTGAATAACTCACTTTCAATATTTAGCGTCAAGTTTGCGTTTAATTCTCCCAATGTATTTTTGATATTGCATTTATAAAGACCAGAATCTTCTAACTGGGGATCTATCAGCTCCAGCTTAATATAGTATTGATCTCCGCGCTGCTCCATAAACATCTTAATTTTGCTATTTTCCTGTATCACATGACCATTACGATACCAAATAATATCTGGCTTCGGTTCAGCCTTAACTTTGCATTCCATTATGACCAGTTTGCCTTGATTTTCGGAAACGATACGCGGTTTTTCTATAAACGTAGGCCCTTCACCTTCTGGCTCTGGATCAGCTTCGATATTCAGATTAAGATTTGCATTTGATTCGCCATATTCATTTTGTACGTTGCAACGATAAGTGCCACCATCAGATGCCCCGGGATCCTATGCGAGTAACCAAAAAATTAACTTGACTAAGTTAAATGTAATAACTAAACTACTTTTTAATAAAACGCAGATGTATTTAACTCAGTAGGTTGATCAAAAGTTTATTTCCAGTTTCATTCAAGAAATTTTAATAAGCTATACCCTTTCTGTATTTACATTGCGTTTACGAAGTCATCGTTTTCGGAAAATCGTTAAACACGTTAAGAGTGGCTTAACTTCCGTGAAAAGTTATAGTTGGTTAGAAAATTGTACTTTTTATTTATAACCGTTTAAGCATGAAACATCCTTAGCCCAATTTCCCGAGCATACTTTTAGACATTAGTTTTTGCTTCCTGTTATCTGAGGTATCCTGGTGCCGTACTAACATCCAAAAAGTTGTACAAATTAATTTAAATAAAAAATTAAGCTAAATTTTTTAATTGTGACCGACCCTCGGAAAGGAATGTCAGCCCCTCCGAGTGTTCTTTTGACTTGAAATAAAAGCTTTTCATAAAAAGCCATCAGCAGTTCGGCGGCGGCTTAGTAGTAGATGATTCCTTGCCAATCCCATTTTTAACTGAACTCTTATTAACTTGCATTTGCCTTCTAATGCCGCAGTCTAAGCCAAAAATTAAAGTCTAAGATTTTAGATCACCAAAACCTATACCCGAAAGTAAGCCCCACAATACATGAAATATGTAATCCACATTCGCTATGAAATGATCTTCAAAATTATCCTTCAGCAAAAAATAAATAAAGTAATACATATTATTTTTATAATATAAATATATAAAACTCCTGAAAAATAAGCCAACAAATTAGAAGAGATATTTTAAGTACCTGTATCTCTAAAGTTAATTCGAAAGTGTCTTCCGCAATCATAGTCGATTTGATCTTAAGTTTTTTCCCTTCACTAATCAATTGTGTGCCTCTATACCAACGGACAGTGGGTTCGGGTTTCGCTTTGCATTTGCATTTCATTGTAATCAATGTACCGGACTCGTTTGGAATTATTCGTGGTTTCTCGATGAACGATGGGGCAAATCCATTAACATCATTGACACCTGTTATATAAACATTCATATATATTTATATATATATTTATAAATATTAAAATATAGGAAACATTAAAGCGAATTATAAATTATTTACAAACGGAGTCTATAAAATTATGTATGATAATATGTATTTATGATTTGCAAGCATTATTAAATATTATTGAGGATATACAGAGTTAAGAAGAACAGATATTATATATACAACAACACAACACCACAAGTTTTTGCATTTTACACTGGTATATCAAAAATGAGATATTACAATTCCTTCCTGTCTTCACTTCAGGATATATGTATATAAATTTTTACTCGTGCGAGTATATATGCATTTAGCACTTTGGGATTAAAAATTTTTTTGTATTATAAAATTAAGTTTGTGTATAAACATATATAAAAATACACATAAGTGTATGCGATGAGAGAATTGTTTAATTTTGATAGTTGTATATAATTTATGATAAGCTATATTGTTTGGAGAAAAGAACACATTACATCTATAAATTAATATAAAACTAGTTTTCGGAATATTAAATTATTAAAGCAACAATTTTTTCATGTAATATGTGACATATGTGGATATGCACAACCCACTAAAACTGTGTTATGCACAGAGATATGTATATGTGGTATGTATATATTGAAAATCTTTGCAACTACTTATGCCCATATATACTTTTATAGTAATTTGAAATAAAATGTATTGTCATAAGGGAATCAGTAAAAGTCTATCATCATTTACATAAATAAGTATTTATCACCAGTGGGGCTCAAAAATGGGTCCGTTTTTATTTTATAAGTAGTTACATAGTTTTTGCATTTACATTTTTTTGTTAAATCTAAATCGAAAATTACCAAAGAAAAATACAATTTTCAAATCTCTACAAACTATGTAAAGATGTTTAAAAATTTAGATGATCTTTAAAATTAATTTAGTTAGAATTTTAAGGTGCGCAACTACTTACGAACGTTTATAAAAGATTTTTCAGTTTTTTCTCTTCTATGACAAAAAAAATGTGTAAAAAAATGTACAAGACCGTTTGTACACAGTTCAACGAGAACTTAGAGTATTACCATGTGAAATGAAATTAGTGTAGTAAAATAGTAGTGACGAAAAATGTTTAAATTAAACGATAAATCTATTGTAAAAGTAGCATTTCCTTTGCTAAAGACCATGCCAAATTTCTAGAAAGTCGTGTACGTATAATGTATTTTGTAAAAAGCTCGAGATATTACGCTGAATATGTAATTTTCATTTGGTATGAACAATGTTTAACTTAAAAAAAAAAAAAACAGATTTAAAAATCTTGGTAATCTGGTTTGGTTTATGGATAATCGCAATGAACACATATTTTGATCTACGGTGTAAGTCTTCATATATCTTGGGACTGTTATGTATATTTGAAAATATACCTTGGAAATTTAGTGCAATATTAGCATTACTTTCGCCGTACATGTTAACGGCATTGCACCGGTAATTCCCACCGTCGTCCGTTGTGGGGTTCAGTATCTCCAATGTTAAAACATACATTTCCTTGGAAATTGATTTTCTCGACATCTTTGCACGTTTAGAATCTTCAATTTTCTTATCAGCACAGTGCCATGTTACGTCTGGAACCGGATGTGCTTCTAATATACATTCCATTATTAATATGTCGTCATCTTGTCGTATGGTTGGTTTTTTCGGAAAACGTGGTGATTTACCATCGGGAATTCTGAATTGATAACTTAATTTCAGTTTCTTGTTTTCTATATATAATAGTGGTTATGTAATAGAGTAGTTTTTAGCATACAAATATACAGATTGTAAGTTAACGAGGTAAAAAAATATTTTACTTATACAACGAACTATTTTCGTCTATAGAGAATATGAAGGTTTTTTATTTTATTTTACATTACATGATTCCGCATAATTTATTTTAATTAACTTGCTTTTTTTTGATTTTACTTTTTCAACTGCATATTATTTAATTTATCTTCATTAATTCTGGCTTAGTTTAATTTGATTTCGGCGCTTTGAAAAAGCTAAAGCGATTTTTGGCCGAGCTCCTCCTCCAATTTGTGATTGTGCGTCTTGATGTTTTTTCAACAAATGGGGGGACCTACAGTTTATACTAACCCGCCTCTGAACGGCTGTTGGTTTTTTATTAGGAGCTTTTATTTCATGCCATACATACACTCTGAGGAGTTGAAATTCCCAATTTTTATTGAAATTAATCTCCTTTATCTTTTGGATGTTGGTCGCACCAGGATTTGAGTCCGGACTTTCCGAACGGTAGAACGCACTGCCAACCAAGCGCCTACTACAGTCGACATTTATTATTATATTTTATTAAATTCTTTGTTTTATTTTAATATTTATTTCAAATTTAATCTATTTATTTTAGAATATTTAAATAAATATATACGAGTATATATAACTTTTTCTTTTATATTATTTTCTTTTGTTTGCATTAATTGTATTCTGTATTTAGTTTGTTTTTTATTTAATTTATCTTATTTTACTTTATTTTAATTTTATTTTCCTTTGTTCTCTTTCAGTTTTATTTTCTTTACTGTCATTAAAATATGCTATTAATATTTCATTGCGTTAATTTTTTTAGGCTTATTGTAATTGTTTTTTTTTATCATTTATTTACTTTATATTAATTAATTTAATTTTATTTATTTTTATTCAATTTAGTTTTTTATTTCGTTATATTTTGTAATTACTTCACGTATTTTTTTCCATTATATATTTTTGTTTCGATTTTTAATTTTGCTATACCTTATTTTAATTTCTGTTGTTTAGGTTTTATTTGACCTAGTTTTATTTTACTTCTATTTCTGTGATTGTTTTTCTGTTTATTTGTGATTTATTTGATTGTCTGTATCATTCCTAGTTGAGGGCAACCACTACAAAAAAATGTTTGATAGAGCTGGGATCGAACCCCTTAAGGAAGTCATATTAGATCTCACTGTTAACTCGTCGGCTATAGCAAGCAGAAGAAGTAGATGGGTCGAAAAGCGTTCAGAGGTTAAACAGTGCCATTTTTTAATTTACATAATTAAGAATTAAAATAAAGTAATCCTGCAGATAGATAAGTGTGTAATGGCTCTCAATATGCAAATAAGCATGAAAACAACGAGTTGGAATTGAGGCTTCTGATGTAATTAATTGCTGCTTGGATGTGAAACAATCACTAATGTCTTTTATGTCAATGAGATTGGAGTTTTACAATTATAACTCTAAAAATTTTGAGCTTAAAAATCCTTAGGGAATTGGGTTGAAACTGCAATTGGAACCTAATGATTTCTCTATTGGGGAATTAAAAATTCTCGTAAAAAATATGACATTTTACTTGAGAATGCATTGGTTCTTCAGTGTGGGTAACTTGAGAAAAAACATTGAAAATCTGAAATCGAGTTGCACTCCACTTAACCCTTAAGCAATTTCCAACTAAGTTTTATTTATGTAAATAGTGAGGTTACTCATTATGAGCACTATTATGAAAATGTTTGTCTTACATACTTTTTCGAACCGCTCTCAAAGCTTAAATTGATGGTTGCCAAGCCTTCGCCGTGCTGATTTGTCGCACGGGCGCGGTATTCTCCTTGATCGCTCGACATAACACTGCTAATTTCTAATCGAGCCATGTAGTACAATTTTTGATCCAGAGATAAGGACATAATATATCTTCCACCTTCCTTGATTTCCTCTTGTCCGTGATACCTTTTTAAGAATGCATTAGGTGATCGCCGATAGTATTTTGAATTAATAAGCATGTTATTGTAATAAACAAGTAAGAATGATTTAATTACTGATCGAGTATAATAAATCATTTTTGAAATTGAATGTAAGGAATGTCAACTTTTGCACGAGTCAATCAATTTTTATCTTAATTAATACTTCTCTTTAATGTAAGTCTTACCCACACCAATCCGTGTTAAGAAAATATAAAAAAAAAAACAATATATTATTCAACTTCTGAAAGTTTTGTCTTATTATGCATTATATTCGGACTTGTATAATATAAAGTCTTGCTTTTGATTCTTACTTGTTTATACACTATAGGTTCGCATAGTACTGTATTAAGTTCTATCATTAAAGTTAATTCGTACCATGTCACAGTTGGTTTTGGATCTCCGACACATCTGCATTCAAACGTTACATTTCCGCCGTCTTCACTTTGGCGTATAACTGGACGCTCAGTAAATGTAGGCTTAATGCCGTCTTCAGGCACCGGTGCTTCATCGCCTAAATTTATAATATGCATACATATTGGATGGCATTTATTTGTTTAACTATAGTATTCAACTAAAAACAATTGATACATAGACATATTTACATATACAAGTATATTTACATATACAATCATATTATACAACGTATGAAAAAAGGGGATTTATCCCAATAGAATATGTAAAAGTATCATAACCAGAGAGGTTTAAGAAGAATAATTTAAAATCGTTAAAAGTAATAAACTCAGTACCGGAATGTCCATTCAGAAAGTCAATAAAAAAAAATATAATGTGAAGAGACATCTTGTGAAACTTGTACCTCTCGGCTGGAATTTACTCGCACCAGCCGCCGGGGTCACTTGCAAGAAAACTAAATTCTTGGCCATAACATTAAGGGGTTACAAAAGTCTTGAAACTTCAAAAATTTATTTTTTTGATAATTTTTTGTATAAAAGTTCAAAGAGTCAGGAATATTTTCCCCAAGTATCAAGTCGATTGATACGAAACTGTAGAAATTAGAGAGTTTTATAACACGCCGTCTTTGTCATGGCTTGGCCGATGGCGAAACTTTAAAAGCGTTTTTCTTAAAACCCCTTTATAAAAATCGGTAGTCAAAATTTCTCAACGACAATTGAAGCATGTTTTTGTAGTCCCTGAACGAAGGATTTTTTTGTCTTTGATTTCAACTCATTTGACGTTTTTTGTAAAAATCGCTACAAAAAACTCAATTTTTAATTTTTTTAATTTTTCGTCGTTCAGAGACAAGGAAAATTCACCTTCTTTAAGAAAACGTTTGGACTTTTGATTTCAGATAAAAATTGAAAACGGTATCATGACTACCTCGAAAGCACTTTCTTGTGGACGGTCTACTTCACGACGCCTTAACTTATACTATTTTTCGTTCAAATTTTCATCAAATGTTGTCCACATATTGTACGTTTTTATGTAAACAAAATAAATTGCATACTTTATTTAGTATCTTTGAAATAAATTAGAGAAAATAAGCTTTTTTTTTGGCCTTCAAGACCTATGTAACCCCTTAAATTGTATGCGTTTTTTCTAAAATTTATTGTAAAAATCGGAGCCAAATATTTAAAAAAGCAACATCTTTTGCTAAGCGTGTGAGAAAGGGACTAAAAACTGCTTCAACTGTTTATTATTTCATCATGGAAAAGTGCCGTTAGCAGAGCGCGTTGTTATATAGTCTACTCTTTCTCACTCTCTGCGTTAAGGCAACGACATATCCGATTAGCTGTGCCTTCGTTGAAATTTGAAAATCAAGCAAGTAACGTGATTAAAGAAAAAATTAAAATATTCCTTAGTTTACTTTACTAAATACCATATTAAGGATTGTTTTTCCTGTACGCCTAAAAAGTTGTATAAATAAAGGCACTTCAAGCAATGGACATAAGAAACTTTTTTATAACTATAATACAACATAAAACGAGTAATGGCGTGGAAATAAGACAGGCCCAATTAGGGTAAGTCATGGACTATTGGCCGTGGCCGCGTATATGAGTTGACCGCAGAAGTCAATGCTTGCATTTGGGCGTTATTATTTCACTATAGCAGGATTGATTGAACGTTGTACCTAAAATATTTTATTGGTTGGCTTTTCAGCAAAAAAGCGCAAAATATTCCAAGAAAGTGGGAGGGACAATAACAATAATGATGATGAAGAAGAAGTGGAAAATAAAATTTAAGCAGTTGTTCCGGCTCCTGGCTGAAGTCCACTGACACTGGACAGCACACTTCGGCTGACATGGCAAAACCAAGCTGATCCGAAGATCGCGCATCGCTCTTGTCATATGAAAAAAAGCCGAACTCATGAAAAAATCTGGACACCACCTGAGGCAAATAATTTTCGACTGGACGCGATGAATTTAAACTGAAAATTCAAGTGGTGACTTTTGTAACTATTGTGCATTATTTCCGCCAAATCCAAATTCATTTCGCGGATTTTTGGGTTCTTTTGTTGTCAAGCCAATTTGCAAATCTAAAGATCTCTACTAACATAGCAAAAAGCATATGGAAACCCACTTTTATAAAACGGCACAAGAAGCTACTAGATATTTTTAGGAGAGTTTGTCTCTGGACGCATAAATAAATAAAATTTCCCAAAACGTTATTTATGAAAATAGAAAGATAATAACATATTTTATTTCTTGTATAATATTTTGCACCTCCCGCAACATGGCGGTGTGAGGCCGTAGTGCGTACGGTAAAAGAATTGTTGAGGACTTATAAATCTTTTAATCGATGATGAAGACATTGTTTTAGAAAGATATCTGGAGCATGGAAGAGGAAACGCAAACCAACGATCAGTGAAAAATCAAAATAAGGCTATCAGTCTTTGTGATGAAGTCTTAAATAAAAAGTTCATACAACTAGTTCAGAATTCAAACGAATATAGCGTTACACCATATGAAACTGTTGAAAGGAGGGCGGTGAATAGGCAATCTTAGGCAAGAAGTACAAGAAAGCTTTATATTTTCATTGCTCGTCGCATAAACTAAATTTAGTCATCAACGACCTAAATGCGCGGACAGAAATTCGGAACTACATTGAAACAACGAAAAACATTATCACATTTTTCAGCGATTCTGTTCTGAGAAAAAAATTAATCCAAAGAAAATGAGATGGAGTAAAAAATACAAAGCTATCAAACGTTTCTTCTGCTATATAGCACTGCTTCCAGAGTGTTTTTAGTTGCTAAATACTCGGCGATGCTGGAAGCGGTAGTCAATGTGCTTCAATCAACGACTTTGGATGTGGTCAAGGCCTCACATCATATTAAGCGCATAATTCAACTGTAAAAAAAGCAATCGAAATGAACCTGATTGATAAGAGATGCAACAGTCGTTGCAGAGAAAATTGGATTGCAGGGGGATATGACATCACTTCCTCGTATAGTTGGCAAGCAATGCCACCAAGAAACTAACTAGATAAGAAAAGCTCAGAGTATTGGAGGCGGTCATTGATTTTTCCTTTGTTCAACTCAATTATTAGCTCACTCGAAAATCAGTTTCCCGATGAGGATAATGTCTCATTTTCTATTTAAATCCAGCAAAAATACATATAATACCAGCAGACTCTCTTTTACAAAAAAAAAGTTGCGAAATAATTTCGCAAATTTACGATTTAATCAATCTTAAAAATGAGGTTGAGCTTTTGCTACAAATGTGGTGCTGCAAAAAAACGAATGTGTCTGAGATGAGCGTCCTTGATACAATCCAGCACACAAATGAATTTTATCCCGATATTCGAAGAGCCCCGAAGATTTTAATCGCTTTACCGTGTACAACTTGTTGTTTGAGGGAACAGTTAGCAGCTTAAGACTTATAAAGACTTGAAGTACAATGGCAGAAAAGTGTATTAATGGACTGGCTTTGGTGATTGTCCACTTACGCTTAATTATTTTTTCAGTCGCTCAATCCTATGCAGTTTTAATAGCTTAGAAAATCAAAGTTTCTGAAAAGATTGGAAATCTTAAAAAACATAAAACGATACTTGATGGAAGCTCTATTTAAATTGAACGTGCTTTAAGTGTCACTGTGGTTGATAGGAATGCGATCTCCCTCGACATGGCGGAAGCTTTGGACCCTCAATATTACACGGATACATACGATTCTTTGAATGTCTTTTGCATCTGACTTATACATAGCCAGTATAATAATGACAAGTCCGAAATGACCAAGGAAAAAACTGTTACTGAAAAAAAAACGAGTTTAGAGAACGATTAGGCTAGATTGTTAATATCCTTAAGGCAGAATTTGGTAATTCTAATAATAGCAACACTGCACGATAGCTCTTTAGGGAAGTAGCGGTTGCAGTCGAAATTTCAAAATTGGACTTAACGCTGTTAAAAAGAAATTGGAAAGTTCAGGAAGTATTACCACGTTACTCCTATGTTCTTTGTGGATAAAAAGTCTTGATATGTAGCCTACAATGAATAAGTTTTTAATGCATGATCCGGAAGGAGGAACTTCAAAAAAACTAAAGACGCCAAGTTGCCAACTAAAGTATTGGCATTATTTATATGTACGTCCACTTATTCTGGTCAAGAAAGTTAAAATTTGTTTAGTGATGACAGTAGCAATAGCAACTAAACACTCCCTTAATTACTTTCAAATATTTTGGTAAGTTCGGTCAAATAATTAATTTTCAATGTTAAAATTCTTTCTATACAGGTCTATTCCATCGAGATAGCAAAATTTACTTTGGTATTAAAATTTATCATTCGGTAAATTTTGTTACTGTTTCGTATTAATAGGAGATAACAAACACTTCGCATTTAAATTTGGTGTTTTTAATTCCGGAAAACAAAGAAACCAGCTCTCTGAGTGCACTCATCAGCAACTCGGTATACGGGACCTGTGGGACGGGATTACATGCTCTTTACTTACAGCTGCAAACGAGACTATTGGACTTCGCGAAAACAGCTGGTACGATGGGGACTGCCGTGTCACAGTGGAGAGAAAACTGCCTACCTCGCAACCTTGAGATCGAGGCCAAAATGAGTGAACATAAAGAGCTTGATAAGCTGGCCGACAAGGGTAATGCTCGAAAGCTCTACGGGAAGATACGACGACTCATAGAAGGTTACAAGACCGAAGCAGACTCTTGTAGGACACAAAGAGGTGATCTAGACACTGATGCTCAGAGTATATTGAATTTATGGAAGGCACACTTCTCCAACCTTCTGAATAGTAGTAAAAATGGAGAATACGGAGATGGTGAATCCGAAGTCTCGATCGGTGACGATAATAAAAACGTTCCATTACCTGACCATGAACAAGTTCGAATTACGATAGCCCGCTTAAAAAAAAACAGACCGGCGGGAGCTGACGGCCTACCGGCAGAACTATTCAAACATGGCGTTGAAGAGCTGACAAGGTGCATTCATCAGCTTGTTTGCTTTGATATGGTCCATTGAAAAAGGCCATTCCACAGTCTGCGCCAACTACCGTCTATGTCTATGTCTGAATATGGTGTTCCCGCAAAACTTATACGGCTGTGTGACGCACCACAACCCCAGAAGCGAGGTCAGAATTGGCAAGGACCTCTCCAAGCCGTTCGGTACCAAACGAGGCTTCAGACAGGGCGACTCTTTGTCATCTGGTTTCTTTAATTTGATGCTGGAGAGACTAATTAGAGCCGTAGAGCTGTATAGAAAAAGAACTACTTTTTACAAGAGTGTACAGCTACTGTCCTCTCTCGGCGAACGAAAACCAAACTTTTCAAGTTGCCCATCAAACTGGCTCTACTATACAGCGCAGAAGCGTGAACGATGTCAACATCTGATGAGTCGGCTGTGGGAATCTTCGAGAAAAAAGTTTTACGAATGATTAATGGTCCTTTGCGTATTGGCAACGGTGAATATCGTAGTGTATGGAACGATGAGCTGTACGAACTATACGATAATGTTGACATGGTTCTGCGAATGAAGATACGGCTTTGAAAGTATTCGATGCAGTACCTACTGGTTAAGGCAGAGAAAGAGAAGGATCTCCACTCTGTTAAAATGATCAGGTGGAGTGACATAGCCTCACTTGGTATTTCTAGGTTGCGCCAAGCTGCGCAAAAAGTGATGAATGGCGCGGTATAATGTGAAATTTTATATTCTTTTATTTGAAATTACAATTAAAAAAAAAAAACTTGAAAATGATTTTTTTAATTTAATAATATAATATATGTATGTCATAAACAAGAAGCTTGCACCTGTTGGGAGAGAATGAATAACGAAAGAGTGGACAGCCGAGAGAGCGAAACAACACACTACACTCTCTGTATTGGCACTGTATGCATCCATATTGCAAGATTTATAATGACGATTTCTTTCAATACGTGACGGCTAATGGTCTTGTAAGCTGAATGGCTAATTTGTTCTTAAATGTTTTCAAAGATCTTCCTACAAATGAATCGATTAGACGTTGACGAAAGAGATATGTCTTCAAGACAACTTTGAATGCGGATCGATCCGATCGCAACTGGGCAAATGGGTTAACAAATACTCGTGGAATATTTTGCAGGTTCCGACTGTGGGGGCGACACTAGTGATCGCAAGTCTTGCACATGGTATGCTGAAAATTTAGGAGAAGGAGTATTTTCACACAAATCTAAGAAGCAAACAACGATGGCTCTTAGAAGTACATAATCGGAATATAAGGCGTAAAGTTGTGCGGATAAAGAAGCAATTTATTTAAAGCAACATTTAAGTGAAATGGAGATACCATGTTGTGAGGCGACGATTTTGGTTAGAATCCTGTATCCTATGCTCGAAATAAGTATGTCAATATAAAACATCACTCCAAAAGAGATTGTCTATCAAGAAGACGAAGTTCTATTAAATTATCATATTATAGTAGTAGTAACATGATAGCAGACGTATTCACGAAACATTTACTAAGACTCTAAATCTTATTAGCAAAATATTATGCAACCTTGTTATGTTTTTCAAATACCTGAGATTGAGAAAATCGGGTCAATTCCTTCCCAACTGTTGAAAAACTCATTATTATGTTATTAAAAATTGTTGAAAAGATAGGGTGTTTTACTTGGAAACTGAAATAAGCAGAATAAGAATCCAATAATGACCAAACATTCAGTACTGTTGAAAATAAGTCCTTCCATGGAAGTACTGATCGATCCCTATCAGGCCTAGGATATCAAACATTTGAGATCAGCTGCATTCCACAGCATGATGCGGAGCTAACGCCTACAAAATACTCATCGAAATTGAGAAGTACTTCTCCGAACAGTTGGTTACCTGATAAGGTTTCAGACAAGTGCTATTTATGCGCTGCAAAATTAAAACGCTAAGCGTATGTAAATAATGAATATATAAAATACATTTTTTATAAGTACATATTTACAAGCTTGTAGAAATTTTGAAAAGCTCGTTAGAAGCCTTAGGAATGTATATGTATATGCATGTAGTAGTATGTATTGATGTCTGAAAAGTAGTAGACGCAGTCGATGAACGACATTGTACGAACACAATATATCTCTAAGCAAAGAGAACAATGGACACTGAAAAGCTTTTGTGAGTGGAAACATAAAATATTAAATAACAATGCGCTAAAATTAGTGTGTACATTTATATCATCGTTTAAATTTCTAATTAGAGAAGTAAGTATGTATACATGAATGTGTGGAGGAAAGGTATAACTTACTGTCAAAATTGAGGCTTATTGTAGCATTACTCTCTCCTAGCTCATTCTTGGCATTCACTTTATATTTTCCGGCATCTTCAACTGTGACATTTTTAATTTCCAATGAAGCAAAGTAGGAATGACCATCTTTTTGAACTGTCGTCTAATTTTTACAAATAACCAAAGTTTCACAGTCATCATCAATATAACAAGGTTAAAGCAAAATAGTTACAAATAAAAACAATAAATAGAATAGTTCAGACCAAGAATAGCAATAACATAACTACATAATTACTAATCAGCGGTTTGTGATTTCTTTTATGACGGACAAAGTAAATAAAGAACAGTTTTATACCTTTCATGAACAAGGAATGGTAAATTCACATTAGTCAGAGGTACGTAGGATCATAAAAATTCATACCGTCCATATTCGTCCTTCGTGAAAGGTATAAAAATTATAACAGCAAATTTGTCTTGTTTCCAATTAATTTAAAGTTTTTGCGAAAGACAGTCTCACAGCTATAAGTAATCATACTGCAATATTCCTGCAAGCAATTTTTACATACTTTGTGCCTTGACGATTCTTTAACGGAATTTCCATTGTGAAACCATGAAACGGTTGGTACAGGATCTGCATTAACCTGACACTCAAAGAGTAGACGCTTTCCATCATCCTCCTGTCGGATAGCGGGCCTTTTCGCGAATGTCGGCGCGAAACCGTCGATTTGCCTGTTATATTAAAGGAAATAAATTATATGTAAGATCATTTTTGCTCTACCTTTGCTAAACTTTTATTTTTCAAATAACAAAGCAAAGCATAACATTCATAAACACAAAAGCCAATGAACTTACCGGGCGGATTCGCTGATTTCAAATTTGCCAACTGAAAGTTAAGTGCGTATAAATAAGAGATAAAAGAGCCAAAAAGCAATATGTTTTCAAAATATTAGCATAAAGAAGCTTGGAAAAACATGTTATATTTAAACTATATCTATTGCTATATTATTTGTAAGTAATTGAAATGCACAAAACTTCATAAGGTAATTGTGTACCAAATGATAAGAAAATTGTTGGATTTCAGTGGTGAAGAAGAGATTTGCAAAACTTTGAGTTGTAAGAGAGCGTCAAGCTATGATTAAATCCTTAGAAAGCATAGTTGATGAAAAATAGAAAGAAGACAGAATTTGTATTAATAGGCCTATTCTGTCGAGGTAATAAAATTTACTTTGGTATTAAAATTTACCATTCAGTAACTTTTGCTACTATTCCGTATTCTGAGCTCACTATCACCCTGAAAATTTTCTTACACGCGAAATAGGAGGTAACAAAAAGTCTGCTGTTTGATTTTGTGTTGTTACTTTGAGAAAAATTAAAAATCAAAATGTGTAGGCGAATATTACGTCTAGAATTCATTGAAAATAAAGAAAATAGTGCAAAAAGATGCTTGTTATGATGTTTGTGAGAAAAAAAATAACCTTTTGATTTTTAAGTTAGCAATTTCATTCAGCTTTGTTTTTTTGTCGACATCGCCTATGTTCCACTATTAGGTTCAATTGTATATGTCTCAATAAACAAATAAATAAAACTTATTTTTTTGTTGTGCTCCGTCTTTCCCTTTCTTGTAAATATAATTTGACATAGTCGAAAAAAGCAGTGCTGATGCATTTCAGCCTTTTAAGGCAAAAATAAGGTGTTAAAATTGTTCTAGACATCATACCCATTAATCTAAACTTAAAACAGAATACCGAATAGCTTATCTCGTTTATCGGAGCGCAGGTTCAGTTTGGTAGAAACGAGCTTAACAAAAAATGTAGGGAGCGACCATTTCAATCTTGTGCCACTTAAAAAGAATAATAAAGATTAGAAAAAGATCCAGGTGAATAACGAAAAACACTTTCACGTGGTCGTAGAGTTTCTCTTTAAAAGAGATGAAGAAAGTAAATTATTATTGTTCTCAATTCAGAAAAATTAAACGCATCCAATTTACACTTAAAATATCTTTTACCCCACAAATTTATGGTAAAAAACACTTAATCAAAATGGTATCGTCCAATATTCAAACTAGCAGAAATTTTTGCATACCAAATTCTACATTGCTTTACGCATTTTATGTTTAGTATGTGGTGATCTTTTAAACATAAAAGATGTGGAAAAAAAGATTAACAGGCCGCATTAATCCTCTCAACGCTGGAAAAGAGGGCATGACTCAATTTATTCAATTTATGTCAACCATAAAAAATATGGCACAAGACCCTGGAGACTGAAAAATGAGCGAACTCAGGATATGTATACGGAGTTCTATTGCTGTCAATCAGCATAAAATAACCATAAAACTGATTCTCCAGAATCAGGATTTGGTATTATGCTTACATAAACATTATATAATCAATAAGTATAATATTTCAATATCTGCATCAGCAGTTATCACCAAGATGAATAATATCATGGTATTACAGCTGTAGCTTCAAGAAATCATTTAATGCATAGCTTTCTTCTCTCATACGCTACAAATTGATTTCATTCAACTTGGATCGAAACGCCTCGTACGAGATATTCCTCTTCTGATGACGACTCCGGAAAACGTTTTAAGGATCACGATTTGAGGGCATGCTTCTGGAAAGTCCGGTCCCTTAATTTGGGGAGGTGCCGCTTCCGCTGTCCAGCTGGTTAATGTTGTCGTCAAATTAAAGGCTAGCATCACAGCCGCATAAGGAAAGCAAAGATCGGGAGAGGGACGGAAATGAGTATGTCCTTGTGATATTAACTACATCGGCCATATAAAGGAGCGTAATTTTGGCATTAACCCCATTCGATGAACGTCTTCCTACAAGCCACATCAAAGCGAAAATTCTTGACATATAGCTGATTTGCGTTCACACTTCAACGGAAGAGAAAGACTATGTAACAAAGGATACCTTTTAAGAGTGCCTCGAACGTACTCATGAGCTTTGCGCCCGCCACGATGTGAAAATCTTGAGTGCGTGAATATGAAGAGCTAGATAAGCTAGCTGACAAGGGTAATGCTCGAAAATTCTGCAAAAAGATACGTCAATTTACTGAAGGCTTCTAGACCGAAGCAAACTCTTGAATATTTAGAATATATGGAAGAGACATCAGCCTGACAATGGAAAAGTTCGAACAGCAATCGCCCGCTTGAAAAACAACACAGCGGCTATGGATTACCGGCCGAGCTTTCAGTAACGGTAGAAAAAGACTGAATGAAAGAAAACCGACGATTGGAACCTAAGTGTACTGTGCCCATTCCACAAAAAAAGTTATCTCAGAGTCTGCGTCAATAACCGTGGCATAAGCGTTCTTCTACCTTGGAAATCAACCAGATATTCACCAATCGTCAAATCGTAAAAAAGAAAATATACCAGCTGTAGAGCTGAATAGAGAAGACGAAATCTTCTACAGCTAATATGGCTTTTTCATGGCATCCTGAAACAAATTGTTCGTCCTCTAAATTACGCATACGAGTTATCCCCATTCACACGGCACGCAACTTTACAGTTTTCTGTTCCGCTTGTTTGTTCCAATTGAATTCGCATGGAAAATTAAGGATTTTAGTAGAAGTTAACTAAATCTTGAATTTAATTGGTAATGTATTGCCAGTTGCTTTAATAGTTTCTCAAATAGTGTTTGGATTCAAACAAATGTTTGTGTATTAGCGTTTTCTTTCATGATTTTTATCCTTTTTGTTCTTGTTTGTCAGCTGGTTTCGATAAAATTTCGATAAGAATTAGAGAAGGCAACGATTTGGTCGTAATTCGCATGGCAAGTAAGAATGCTTTATCCACCTTTACTATAATTCGCTCACGAACATTTATATAGCGAATTAAATAACTCGGCATATATTTGGAGTACGAATTACGATTGAGAGAGTGAAACACGTCCCTTAATTTGGGTAGTGGAAATGCTATATAACGTAAGCTGATGATATTGACATTATTGACGAGGGCAAGACGAACTATGTATCTCCTGTAAACAAACAAGCAGTCAGCACATTCTGGTCACAACTTTAAAGTCACAGATAACTTCGTTTATCTTGGAACCAGTTTTAACACCAACATGAATGCCAGCCTGAAAAAGCCGCGAATATTCACTCTTAACAACCTGTGATACTTTAGTCTGAGTAGGCAATTGAAAAGTAAAGTCCTTTCTCGATGTTTAGATGCAGTACCCGTTGGTGGAAGTATGGGAAGAGGACGACCTACACTCCGTCGCAAAGACAAGGTAGAGAAGGACCTGGCTGTACTTGGTATTTCCGATTGGCGCCAATCTGCGATAAGGAATAAATGGTGCAATTGTCGTTAATTTGACTATAATCGCATCAGCGGTACCTACGCAAGTAAAGCAAAAGAAGACAACCAACTAACTAGCCTACAGCCTACTTACTGACTTTGAAATCACCAAAAACGTAAATAGGAATTTAGTATCGGCTGAGACTGGTGCTATCTTCCGATCGCTCTCAAGTAACTTTTAAAATTAACAGAGAATTGAAGTTCAGAATCCCTTTCGTCTAATAGCATCCGAAAAAATGCATAAGCAGTGAATCCCGAAATAGAGAGTGGAACTGATATTGATACTTATACATAAATAACAGTATGCTAGTAATGGTGGCGAACGTAGCAACAACAAAGCAGAAATGTCTACAGATACACTATTTCGTGCGGAACATCTATTTATGAGCTAATAAGTGTTACTACCGATTGTAAAATAAATCGCATAACTAATGAAATAAGGAAAGTTTACAAATTCTTAATGTATGGGTGAGTTCCATAACGTCAGTTGAAAAGCAACCATACATTGCTACGCATTTCTAAATGTAATTGTGCAAACTTTCATCATGTTCCAAAATGCATCGGTAAAGTTATTTATGGGCAAAAAAAAGCAAACTGCTCATTGCCAAGGCTTGTGATGCTTTATTTTATTGAAAATTTTAATAACAGTGGCCGACGTAGAAGAGTAAGTTCTTTGCGCTAATTCTTTTTTTTTAACTTTATATTACTTATTTTTTGATCTGGTTTATATTTTAAGAGACAAAATGTGAGCTCATGAAAAGCATTCCAAATTGTCGGCGTTTGTAAAGTATTGTTGCTTTGTAAATTTATAGCTTGCGGGGTTACATTGTAATTATACGGTTACGCAACGGCATCATTACAAAGTATTTTGAAGTTTTAGAACGTTTAAAACTTGACGTTTTACAACGTGTTGCATGATGGTATAATTCAGAAATTTATACGTTCCGCAATCTCCTTGTTATCCAACAGGCTATTCACAGTAAAGAAGTCGAATACATAACAGAAGAGTATCCGACCACGGCATGTGCTCCGGTAGCGTTGTTGGACCATTATTTTCGAAGACGTTAAGAATAATAATGGGCACACAATGTGGCATGCCAAATAAAAATTACCATAGATAGCCGAATATTATAAACGCACCATCAAAGAAGAGTTTGAAATCATAGCCCAATACTACGCGCCAAAACTGCGCAATCATCTGAGCCTCCGTAGCAAATCAAACGCGCTAAAGAATAGGAATTCGCTACCCTTGTAAAAAGCTACGCTGAGCCAGTAGCACATTACTCATTGAGATGATTCCGATGCGGAAGCAGTTTCAGTAAATAAACACAAATGTCAAAATCTGTGTAAATTATATCCTAGCTTATTCCTCCCGGTATCATCAAAGATGCAAGCATTTCCCAACTATCTTATCCAAAGCTGCAAAACACAAGACATTACAAAGAAAAATCCCTACCGCTTAATTTAAGTATTCGAATTTCGCAAACTTGTAATAGTTAAAAGAAAAAACACTTGAAAACAAAATTTCAGAAAAAAAGGTCAAAAAACTAAACTGAAAATTATAAAAAATTACTAATAATTACGAATGAAAAGCTGTCTTTGGACATGTCATGGTCTTTATACCTTTTATGAATATCAAGTTTATTGTATTTCATTTTGGGATTAAATATTAATTATCATATCTGAGAAATTGGCTCGATATGGTGATATGCTTAAGTTTTCTTATTTCCATGATTTTATTTATTTATTTATTTATTTGAATGAAAAATAATTATTAATAATTACATTACATAAAGGCAACTAGCAGCTAGGGCTATCGGCCCGAGCATGACTTTTTTATGTTCATTTGTCACATTACACACGAATTGCATTCTTTTAAATAATTTTCACGGATAGTCCTTCGATATCGATCGTTTTCGGTTAAAAAGCTGTTTTTCTGACATATGTACGAGCGTAGAAACTCGAATTTTACAACTTTAAAATACATTCGACGACTTTTCGACCCAAAACAGTATATCCGAGCAAATTGGTGGTATGAGATCATATACGCTCCACGGATTTCGATATTTTCCGTATGATGATGGTATGATACTCGACTCCCTGAGAGCATTCATCAACAACTCGGTATAAGGGAACAGTGGGACGGAATTTCAAACTCGGCTGCAAACAAAACTATTGCATTTCGTAAAGGTCGCAAAAACTGGTGGTACAATGAGGACTGCCGTGACGCAGTGTAGAAAAAGAAAGCTGCCTATCTTGCGATCGACCACAGCACATGCGAGAGGGGATATATATCGAAAGCTGAAAAGAAAAGTAAGACATATTTGCCGACAAAGAAAAGAAAGAGACCGTAAAGCGCGAGTATGTAGATCTTAAGGGGCTGGCCAACAAGGGTATTGCTGGAAAATTTTACGAAAAAAATACGGCGACTAACAGAAGGTTTCAAGACCGGAGTGGATTCTTGTAAGAAGTTCAAATAGCAAACTACTGCTTAAAAACAACAAAGCGGCTGGAACCGATAGATTACAAGCCGAGCTTTTCAAATATAGCGGGGAAAAACTGACAATGGACATGCATGAGCTTCTTTGAAAAAGCATGGTCTAAGGAAAGCACGCTCGAAAGTTAGAGTCTTAATCAATTCTACCAAACCCACAAAAAGGGCGATCCCACAGTCTACGCCAATAACCGCCAGCAAACTGATTGGATCTTATCAGTATGGCCTTAGACCTGGTAAATCAACCATTCCCCAGATATTCACCATACGCCAAATATTGGAAAAGACACGAGATCCACACACATCACCTCTTCGCCTTCCACAGTACGAGAAGAAGCTGCCTCTATGCCGCTATGTCTGAATTTGATATTCACGCAAAACTTATACGGCTATGTAAACAGACTTTGAGCAAGACTAAAAGCTCCGTTAGGATCGGGAAGGACCTCTCCGAGCCGTTCGATATCAAACGAGATTTCAGACTGGGTGTTTCCTTATAGCGTGACTTCTTTAATTTATTGCTGGAGAAAATAATACAAGCTGATTCTATAAGAGTGTACAGATGCGGGCGTTCGCGGATGATATTGACATTATTGTCGGCAACAACCACGTCGTGAGACCTGCTTTCTCCAGACTGGATAAGGAAGCGAAGTTTATGGGTCTGGTAGTGAGCGAGGACAACACCAAATATCTCCTACTTTTTGAAACAAACAAACAAACGCGTTCGCGACTTGGCTCCCACTTCACTATCGAAAGTCATTACCACGAGGTCGTAGATCAGCATCAACACCAATAATAATGGCAGACTGGAAGTTCAACACAAAATCACTCTTTCCAACAGGTGTTGCTGTGGACTGAGTAGGTAATTGAAAAGTAAAGTTCTCTCCCGAAGAACGAAAACCAAACTCTGCAAGTCCTCATCGTTCCCGTCCTGCTATATGGTGCGGAGCCTGGACGATGAGAACATCTGATGAGTCGGCGTTAGGAGTTTTCGAGAAAAGTTTTGCGTTAGATTTACGGTACTCTATGAGTTGGTAACGGCGAATACTGCAACCGATGGAATGATGGCCTGTATGAGATATATGGCGACATTGACATAGTTAACCGAATCAAGAAACAACGGCTACGCTGGGTAGGTCAAGTGGTCCAAATGGATAAGAATACTCCAGCTCTGAAAGTATTCGATTCAGTATCGCCGGCTGAAGCAGAGGTAGAGGAAAACCTCCACTCCGTTGGAAAAACCGATTGGCGATAATCAGCGAGAAAAAGGAATGAATGTGCAGCGTTATAATTTCGGCTAAAATCGCAGAAGTACTTTCTACGCCAGTAAAATAAGTAAGTGCGTATGTGTGCTAAGTTTGTTTGAAGTTTCTGAAGACTAGTTTACTAGAAAACAGATGGACATTCCTAAATCGACTCAACTCGTCATTCTGACCCGATTGTTATAAATTTTTTTGGGTCTATGACTTCTCCTTCTGGGACTTACGTACTTCGGACCAAAGTTAATATACTATTTTATGAATAAGCATGCATGCAAATTAATGTTTACGGAATGCAATATCCGCATCCCTATAGGCTTTTGAAGCCTGTAGAAAATGGATTCATGTTGTACACGTATGCATGACAATAAAATATTTTGAGAAAGTAAGAAACTTGGGAGCTAGGACCTAATAAAAAAATTTATAAAAAAATTTTAGTGCAATTTTTTAACATTACATAGAGTAGGAAATCCAGTTCAATCACTACATCTATTGTCTTTCCGTTTTGGTTTCCTCATTTTCTGAAAATATTGTAGTACCCTACAGTCAGTTATTTTTGAGAAATTGGAAAATTTCAATTGTGGACGGTAGTTTTAAACGATATTATCCTGATTGAACCGATTCCGCACCTCTTCTGCAAAACATTAAGGAACTAATTGGTTGTACCTTTCAAGGTACATTGGCCTGCTTGATATCCATTATTATTTCGCTTCTATTATATTTGTCTTTATGAGTGAATGCGAATGAACTTTTTTTTATGTAAAGTATAAATCTTTGAAAATCTCTAGATTATTGATCTGGGTCAATTAATCAAACAATATATGCCAAAAAAAATTGAGCGAAAAGGAGAGGATTGAAAAAATACGAAAGAGTATACATTCCAATGACAAAAATAAATCCCCTCCTCTTGTAGATCCAAGTCTCCAGTCTTATTCGATCCGCCATAGATAACATCCATGAGACTTTCGCAGTGGAAAGACTATGTGTAGGTAAACAAAAATGTTTCACAAAAAAAATCATTTTTATGTTTTTTGCCATACGTCTGGCTATACTTGAAATTTTGAATCATAAAGCAGGATATCGGAGAAATCTATTCAGGTTGAGTTCCATTTTCAGTGTGTGACAGTGTAGAGGTTTAACAAAGTAGATAAAACGATCAAAATGATCCCTTATCCGCAAGATGACATAACGTAAGACAAAATGGAAAGCCGAAAGTGGATCACTCGAGTGTTCTACCACCTTTTAGATGGTTTATAAAAATATTAATAGTGTGCGCATGTGCTGTATACATTTCAATAAGATTTCACCAATAGTCTTTGTATAGTTTTTTTTTACTCAATCCAATTTCAAAAGCAGTAAGAATAGAATCAGTGTTTGCCACTCCAGACTATTATATATATATAGATATATTTATATCATTTTTAGGGTTTTTCATTTATTTTGCGAAATAATTAATATTTTCCAACCACTTAATTAAAATTATTTAATTCAATTTATTTACTACATCTACTATTTGCTCCGATGTTACACCCTATATTCAGTAAAAGGTTTGCGATTTGCGAAATGTTTAAGTTCAAATTAAAAGTTGATAACAACAAGCTGCCTTGCAGCTGTGTTTAGACTTCGTTGGACTTTTTTTCTAATGCTTGTTTATTGCAATACCAAAATCGTTCACAAATATTTGTCCGTAGTGACCTCTGCTTATTCGACTAGCAAAATAGTAACGAAAAACGTTCATAGAAATAAAAATTATTATTATTGGATTACGCAAGTTTAGTAAAACTCGATAGTTTAGTAAATTGCAATTATTGTAAAAGTCTTTAGGTTATTTTTAAAATTAATACAATATAAAAGAGCTTTAGGTAAAAACAAAAAATTTTAAGAATATTCCTTACTTTTCCTTTGGTTCGTCAGCAGCTATGTATAAGAAGTAAAAAAATTTTAAGTTATTACTATTTTTATCCTTTTATGTTGAATGAATATTTTAAATTAATGTCTTGATTTAATTAATTATGTAGACGTTCTCTAAACTGATTGAATTTGTACATCCCTAGTATTTATTGCAAATCGTCATAAAAATAAATAAAGTAGGTCTAAATGGAGTACATTTCCAAAAATTTTCTATTAATTCCTCCACTAGATGTATGACTTTTTTATACTTACGTCTGAAATTTAAATTAATTGATGCTGAAACTTCTCCTGCTTTATTTTTGGCTTTAACTTTGTAAAGTCCAGCGTCCGTTTCAATCACATCATCGAGCTCTAATATAACTGTGAATTTATTATCACCAATTGGTTGTATTTTAAATTTGGTTCTTTCATTTTCTGTTAGCAAATTATCACTGCGGTACCACTCAATTTCCGGCTTAGGTGACGAGAGTAGTTGACACTCAAATATCAACCGATTACCATCATCTTCTTGACGAAGTTGTGGCTTCTTTAAAAAGCTGGGAGCGAATTCTTCAGCAACTCCCATGCTGAGAGTTTAATATAACACAAACAAGCCTTTGTTAATCGGGTTTTCAATTAGTACCCATGTGCTGCTCAAAATAATATGCAAGAATTTGAGACTTTGTGTGGAATATTGTGACGCTTTTTTCGCTAGTTATTTTTTTTTCGTTCTCTTTATGAATTATGTAACAACTCCAGTCTGCTGTTTAAATCTTTTTTGATTTTTAACTTAAAAGTTGTTAGATCGCTCTTAATAATATACGCTCTCTCACTCTCGACGCTATCGTGTCCTGGAAAACATTAAATACAATAAATCATTATAAACGAAATTTAGAAATATAAAAATTAAAAATATGGTTATTATTATTAACGAAACTTAGATTTCTGTAAAGGAATTCAACTGTTTTAATTTTTGGATATGCTTAATGATATTATGTGGCGTTCTATACTACGAAAATTAGATTAGATTAGCGCTTGGACAATTCCGTCATGTGGCATAGAAAAAGAAATGTCAAAACTAAACTTTGGAAACGTTGAACCAAAACACTTTCTTAATGAAACGACAACTTTTTTGAGTGTTATGAAAAAATTTGCAGCCGCACGAAACAAAAAGCATATGATTATTTCTTAACCATACACCGAAAAATCATATTTCCTGCCACCAGATCAAAAATCTCGAAACGAAATCGATCATGGTCTTTTGTTATGAATGTATCTATTCTCTAAGGATCTATCATCGACTCCTTGTGTAGCGAAAAAGGCGCATTCCAAAGCGCCAGCCGTAATCACAACGAACAGTCATGCATAATTCTATTCGATTTTTCCTGGTATTTCAAACTCATTTCTTATCGTTCTAAAAAAAATTGACAAAGTGAGGGTTTTTGGTCCGCTATTGGAGCTATCAAACAAGCAATCATGTCACCGCTGACAGTCATAACTTTTTTGATGAAAACAATGTTTCCTCTCTGAAAACTCGCCAATCACAAAAAAAAAAAATGTCAACCTTCAAATCCAACGCAGAATCGACTTGCCAACAGGTGATAGTTTGCTAATTTTGACAATGTCCGGTAAGTTCACGCTGGGATTTTTCGTAAGAAGGAATATTTTTTCAAAATTTTTTACTGAATTGTAAATAAAGACTAGTTGTTTTGAATGATTCACTGAAAAAAATCCTCATATATAATTAGCAAGACTAATTTTCCCTAGAGTAGATAGCGTTTTCTAACTGGTAGGCAAGGTTTTGTTAACCGAAAATCAAACAATTAGAAAAAAAGAAAACATACAGATGCATAGATACATACATATGTACAAGCATGTATTTACTTATGTACACACATATATGGAACTTGCTTAAACGCATATACATATGTACAAATGTATTTAATGTATTTAAATATTTTATATATTGATATTGAGCTTTCCTTTTAATTCATTTTAGTTTTTATTTATTTTATTGCGTATATTTTTCATATCTTTTTTCTATTCCTTTTTATTTTACACTCTTGACATTCACAATGAAAAATATTAGGTTTCCAATCTTTTACCGGTTCACAACTCTTGCACACTCCCCTACAAAATTAGAGGCATTGGTGGTGACGTGATTTCAAAATTATTTCGAAGCAGTATTTGCATTTTGGAGATGGTATATTTTTAGAAATATCTTACCGAATCGCTAACATTAGCACTAGCACTTTCAGTCGTTTTCATAAATTTCGTTATAATATTTGCTTATTCGCAATATACATTGACATTTTTTTATAATTATAACTATTTCAGGCGTTCAATTGTATGAATTCAAACTCAAATTTATTAGGTATATACACATATATGATTACATACTCACAAGTAGGCAATCCAGCATACTTACATTATAAAATTGTGTGTATACAAAATAATATGAAAAATGAAATGTAAAATGTAATGAAATGTAAAATGTGATTATGTTTATTTGTCTTGCTTCGCCTTCCTCCTAAAAGAAATTAGTATTACTATTTTTAACTTTTTATGTAAATACATCAGATGTATTTTTAGCATTTTTTTCACTTCTAGCGAATAGGCAATATTCTTTCGAATATAACGTTGGGCAAAATATATTAAAAACATTTAAATATGTATTTTCGACGACTTAGTTAAGTTTGGCTTTTAAAAAATAGCTTCTTTATTCTTTTTCTCAAATATATATGCATAATATAAAAAAGAAAGATGGTTTTCACTAAAATTACAATGGACAAAGAAAGATTTTTTGATGTTATGTTTTATTTTCATTTTTGTCTTAAAGGCACTGCAATATTCGACGTATTTAATTTATTTCCTCGTAAAAAATGCTCAGGTACCAGAAAAAAATTTATAAGCATCTAAATTGTTTAAATGGCGTCTTACTTTCCCCCACTTCTCTCCTTACAATACCATGTTTAGCAATATTTTCTTAAATCCGCTTTTTTATGATATATTATTCAATAAATTTCTCACATTTTTTTTTTGTTTACATCATACCATCCATACTTATAAATTCTATATTACTGTATTTACAAACATACGCCTAGGTGCCCAAATTGCCAACAGTTCATAAAAACTATTTCGGTACGTACTCAAATTTCAATAGCATGTAATGGAAAAAAACAAAAGCCACCAATTAAAAAAGGCCGAATTGCAAAGATTTGGGTCAAATTTAAGCTCTTAACAAACTTTAAAAATCTAAATGATTTTCGAAAACTATTTTTATTCTATGAAATCTTCTGCGGATCTGCATCATATTGATCCACACACCTCTTACGCTGTTAAAATTTTATGCCTACAAATTTTTGGTATCCTTTGGTGCTTCGAAAGAGTTAAAATAAATCTTAAAATCATAGTCCAAGTATCATTATTTTTCCTTTGTTATTCGCACAATTTGACTGTCACACTCTGCTTGAAGTCAATTTTAATTCCATATTTTAACTTTATTTTCTTCCAAACACAATATATATATAAATATATATATAATAATGTATAACATTATATATATCAATGTGTAGAAAGCTCAAACCTGTAATATTAGTAAATTTGTTGAAAAAACAGCAGCAAAAGCTATACCACTTAAAAAAGCAAATCTATGCATTAATGGACTTCATTATCACGTTAATTTTTATTATTATTTAAGAAAAACCAAGTTCGGTTCCAATTACTTTTGAAGCTAGCTTACTTAAGAATTTTCATTCTTCGGCTAATAAATTATTAGTTTTCGGTCGGTTGCGCGATCCACGACATACTCTGGACGTGAGTATCTATCGAACTGAATTTTAAATAGAATATAATTTAAAATAGAACATGAATGAATGAAATTTGATGTTGAGAGAAATTCTCTAAATAAAAAGTGGAAACACAATAACAAATTCTAATCAACAGAACTTCGTCATTTTTGACTGAATAAACATTCTTTAAGTCACAAAATATTACAACACTGAGAAAGTAAATTTTTTTCATTTTAACATATATATATAAATATACAAGTAAATAAATAAAATAGAAATATGTACACATGTAAAGGACTACCTTAGCATTGTTCCTATATATTTAAATTCAATTTTGGCGGCCGCCACAACCGAGCGGCATTTCAAGAAGAAAAGCTAATTAACAGCTTTATTTATTTTTATTTGCTTGTTATGAGTTTAACTCACATTCTAGGAAAAATTAAGTTCTATATTCGTTAACAAATTCAGATTTGTAAGAAAGCTTCAAGCATCGGCAACGGTTAAATGATCCGTTATTGGGGCTGTACGCCTGTACATAACTAAATACTATTTCTTCACTGTCTTACTTGGGCCATATCTGATTCGTTTATTTGCAATTGAAAAGGGATTTCCATCTATTCTTAACTATTCAACAAAATTTTAATGGAAGTTCTGATTGCTTCTATGGCTGGAAACCTAAATAACGGTTCCAGTTTATTCGAAGATATGCTGTTTTCCGTATCCTCCCTTAATTAATGTTCGCGGAGTTTAATAGATCGATCATGTGTAGAAATTTACGCAAGTGAGGAAAGTTTTTGTATGCCATTCATCTGAGAGTGGCCTGAAACGATTTTGCATATGGTTCAACCAGCTTGCGACCTCCACTCTTAGAGAACGTATCCCCTGGGTAGCCGACCAACATCCCTTTGAAGAGCTGAAGTGCGGTTGAGCGTGGGGCTTGGGACCCACCACATAAAAAACAAAACCCAATGAAAAATATAAATCAGCGTAGGATGAGAGACCGCTCTTTTGATGACGACCCCGTAAATGTTTTAGAGATTAAGATTTCAGGGTATGGCTCCTGGAATGTCCGGTCCCCTAATTGGAAAGGTGCCGCTGCCCAGCTGATTGAAGCCCTCGCTAAACTAAAGGCTCTTATCACCGCCGTCCAATAAATGCGATGGGCGGTCAAGGACTGATGGTGGGTTTTTATGAAATTCGCTACAGCGGCCATATAAATGATCGCAAATTAGGTGTCGGATTCGTGGTTTAGGAGAGACTCCGGCGCCGAGTACTGGCATATACTCCGTTGGATGAACTTTTCGCCACAATCCGCATCAAAACGAAATTCTTAACAACACGCAGATTGGCGCCTACACCCCGATGGAAGAAAAGTATGATTTGACCAAAGATGCCATTTAGGAACGCCTCGAGCACACTTATGAGCGCTGCCCCGCCACGTCGTCAAAATTGTGCTTGCGAATTTTAATGCCAGGATGGACAAAGACGGTATTTTGGGACAAGAGTCGGAAAAAGCAAACTCCACGACGAAACATCCCCAAATGGGCTGAGGCTGATCGACTTCGCCTGGGCTCGAAATATGTAGTACTAGATTCCAGCACAAGAAAATTCACCAAGCTACTTGGTTGTCTCCACATCGAAAAACTTTCAATCAGATCGACCATGATGTGGTAGACGGAAGACATGTATCCAGTGTTTTAGATGAAACCTTGCGATCGGTCACAACTCGTGCGGGTGCATGAATCAGCTACATTGCAAAATGTGATTGGATCAAAACATGCCCAATAACTGGAACCTGAGTCTGCTCTGCCCAATCCACTAAAATGTGATCAAACAGTCAGTTCCAATTACCGTGGAATAAGCATCCTTATCATCGCATTAAAGGTCCTGTAGAGCGGATTGTTTGAACAATACTCAACAAACAAACTGATTGAATCTTATCAGTATGGATTTAGACTTGGTAAATCCGCCATTGACCAGATATTTGCCATGGAACTGCCTTGAAATCTGTTGTTGCATTATTCAAATCATTATGAACCAACAACTATTAAAGGCGATAATTTAGCCGCTTTCTTCTTAATATTATTATTATGTTATTGTACTACCTGCATATTTGTTTCAGTGCGCATACAATGTATACAAAGGCCTTTTTTCGCTAATCAAATTTCTCTACGAAAACGTAAAAATGAATGCCTTGAAAGCTAACACCACTGCTCAGAACTACGTTTATGATATGGATATAACAGCAGGGTAAAACTTAGTATATAAATATCATACTTAGAATTTTTCGACTATTTGTGTTTGATAAGCTTCATGAAAAATTAGTTGACAATGACAACAAGCAGAGTTCCTAACATTGCAATGTAATTATTACTTTTCAATGCTTAAAAAAATTTTACTTAACTTGTACAAATATATAAATATGAAGTACTGTAGATATAAAAAGCAACATCTATAAATAAACGAATTTTCCTTCGTATTGTAGCATGAAAATATCTTATTGATAAAATAAGAAAAATGCATATATTATAATTTCTTTACACAATACTACAAATGGTTGCTTGCGTATGTCAGGAATAAAAAAATGTATCTCACCAAACGCATTAATATAAGCAGCCGTGGACTATGCAAAACGAACCCTTGCAATCGACATTAAATGTCGATATTCACCAAAGTAGCCTTATAATTAGGTTTCTTCTGAACTTACCGGTTGGTACTTTTTCAAAAGCTTGTAAACTCGGAGTGTTTTGCTTTATTCCGCATAAGCTAGCTGTAGTTACTTCGCTGAACTATGCCATTTTCGCCGTATATATGTCACGGTACTCGCCGTTCCCTATGAGCAAAAGACTATAAATCTTCCGCTAAACCTTTCTCTCGAATTGAAGAGGGCATTTGGCTTTTTTGTCGAGAGAGAAGTTTACTATTTTTATAATTGCCTACTAAGACCAAAGTAGCACCTGTTAGCAAACGAAATTCTAAGTCAGATTTCATTGTTAGTGGTGTTGAAAAAAGCGAAGTTATCTCCAGCTTCAAAGTTTTGACCATCAACTGATATTTCGCTCTGTCCTCACTACCAGAACTATACGTTTGGCTCCCTTTTCCACTATAGAGAATGCGGAATTTACGGTGTGGTTGCTGGAGCGAATAATGTCAATGTTATCGACGTACTCCTTGAGTTTTATACTCGTATAGAAAATTATGCCTTCTCTATTTAGCCCTAACCCTAGTAATATAAATAGATCAAAGAATTCAGACGATAAGATATCACTTTGGTATCAAAATGCTCGGAGAGGGCTATCCCGATCTTGACAGAGACTCTGTTGTAGCAGTTTACACAGCCGTGAAAATTTCGCAAGTATACCAAGCATTCAGATATAGCAGCATAGTCTCTTACACAATACGCTCTATGGGACCCTATATGTTATATTGGTAAGGCTTATCCCACGGCAATCGGATTAGCCATCTTCTTTTCCTACGTTATTACTGTCATATGACATACTGGGTAAGTGTGCCCTCCATAAAAATATAGTCTGGGAAGCTATCGCTAGAACGCCTCTTTGGATAAGTCATACTCACGAAAACCAATAGTTTCGTTTTCAGCTGTACGTAGAGGGCAGGAAATTACATCTCACAGTTTCCTTATACCGAGTTGATGATGAGTGCTCTCAGAGAGCAGGAGTAGAGTAAGTGTTCGGCTCTCTGTTATGATTGCATCATTTCCACGTTGAGGTTACCATGTGTTTCAGAAGCGGATGTGCATCTATTCTACTACAAGAAAGTGGCAGGAGTCGATATTGGGACCTAGGAACGCTGGAGGCATGTCGTCCGTTTTCACAACATGATCAAAACAAACAAAACAAAGACCAACTTCAGTATTTAACTAAGCTTACCTCGACCTCAGACCACAGATATTTAGGAATTAAAAATATTTTCATAAGTGGTCAAAAAAAGGTGTTAAAATTAAAGAATTGTATCTTGCCGTGCCAATACTTAAGTTCATCACTGTATGTAAGTCGATGATTTAGTCATTACGTGCAACGATACAATTAAAGCAGAAGAAATAGTAAAAAAAAGCTATCGCTATAAATTCAGCTGCCGGTTTCTAACTAAGAAACTTTTTGTCTGACATTAAAACACTTCAAGCTATTCTTAACGCTCAAGAAGAAACGTCAATATCAGTCCTCAACATGGAGCATCAGTCTACTATCTATAGATAACTACTATAAAAGTTTTAGGTATGTTATGGAACACAGCTATTGACTGCTTCTAGTTTCATAAAATTGCTCTTAATTTGTTAGAGGCTAAGCGTCTGCCAACCAAACGTGTAGTCTTGGGTTTGGTTTCTTACCCAATATGACAATCTACATGAAGTTGTTAATATAATCATTGTGAAAATGTCAAATAAATTGGGATGAGCCTTTGCCGCATAAGTTAAATTAAAAATGGGTCTCATGGTGGAAAAGTTTCCAAAATGTTTCATTATTTTCCGTACCAAGATTTTACTCAACATCACTGATGTCGGCAGATGATATTCAGTTATTCATTTATATTTACATGAAAAGGTGATAAACAAGATATAGTTTTCGTCGCAGCTAAGTCACGGTGCGTACCACTTAAAGGTACGATGGTGCCACGTTTGGAGCTTCAAGCAGCTGCACTGGGGAGCCGATTAAAAAAATCGATACACGAATGCCATGATTTTGCTATCCGTAGTGGTTTTTTTTGGAGTGACTACAAACAGTGCTCTTCTGGATAAGGCCCACAACTCGTGTATATATGCAGTTTGCTGCCATAAAAATATCAGAGCTATTGTATTCTACAGAACGATTTCAGTGGAGATGGTCACCAACAGCGACTAATGTAGTTGATGAAACTACCAGCGACTATACCCACAGTTTGAATCGCATATTATATACGGCACAGAAAGCTGAGTGTGCTTTGAATATCTGTAACTTTTCTCCCTATTTGAAGGTTCTAAAGTCATCATGGGTTGAGCTTTACGTTTTGTATACAACTCACGTAACGAATGTTGTCAAAAAGATCAGCTGAAAGTCGTTAAAATATCAGATGCAGAGAAAGTCATATGATCGTATCGACGCAGCATACTGTCGGCCTGTATCAGACCGTTATCCAGTTATATTGCCACAACAAGATTATTTAACTCGATTAATCATATCCTTGAGAAGTTACATCACCAATCTGTGACAAGTTTTGTATTTCGTATATTCATTAGGCATTAAAGTCCGTAAAAAGATCCTGTCAAACATGCAAAATCAACAATGCGAAGCCGGTTACGCCAATGATGGGCCAACTGCCGCCTGATCGTCTAACGCTATATATCCGTTCGTTCAGTTACACCGGAGTTGGTTATTGTGGTCTTTTTCACATAGCCATTGGTCACCGACGTGAAATGCGATGGGTAGCATAGTTCACATGTTTAACGTTGCGAGCTATTCATCTGGAAGTGGCGGCAGACTAATCCACCAATTAATTTTTGGACTAAACTTTAAACTGTTCGTGAAACCATCCTGCCGGTGGATGTCGGGAGAGACTAGTATAGTGTGCAAAACGTCTTTTATTAAAAAAAACTAAAACAGAAGCGCTAAACCGCTGGAACCTTTTTAAGTACGTTAATAGAAGCCGAGAATATAACCAACAGTCGTTTCGGATGTTTCCGTTTCACGACATGATCCAGAGCCATTGACTCCGAATCATTTTCTGTTCGGTTGTTTAAATTCAACTCAGACACCAAATACGGATGAAGATACAATTTGTCTAAACATGCAGGACAGTATATCTCAATCTTTGAAAAATCGTTTATGGAAGCGATGGACTTGCGAATATTTGCCGTCTATATTATGCCGAATAAAGTGGAGAGAGAAATCTTAACTTTTGCAGCCTGTAGATGTAGCTATTATTTGTGATTATAGTATACCACGAGTGGAGCCTTGGGTCACAGCTAATGAGAGAGGAAGCTTCAGTGAAGCCACTCCGACTTATTCGGTTCAAGGGTCTGCTGAAGTCTAATTGCATCGTCCGTTCACCAGAGATGGTGCGCGCGTAGGCGTCGGTCTTAAAGCAAGCGGATCGCTAAATGAATGTGCAAAATAACTTTAAACTAACTCTCCTAGCGAGGTTTTGCGCTTGGTTTTGTACCCGCCACGTAGAAACCAGCTCCAATGAGAAGTTTTACATCGCCTCGGTTGATATACCCCCTTTCTGTTGACGACCTCCGCAAACGAATTAAGAGGCACACCTAGTGTGAAATTTCAAAAGAATCGATATTTTTTCATATTTCGGTAGATTACACATTTAAAAATAAAATATTGAAATTTCAAATCGATATCTCAAATAGTTTTTGAGTTATAGGAAATTAAAGGGCAACCGCTCGGTAGCTAATGAGACTCCCTAGCTACGAGTGAAAACGATCATTTTATCTTTAAATGCGTTTTCCTCGAAACAGCATTTTCCGAATTTGTTGCAGGTATTACTCAAAAACAAATGATCCGATCACTATCGAATTTTTTTCACATGTTCTATATATAGTTCTCCGTACAATGACCTATAGACTTTTGATCTGATCAAAAAAATATTGGCAAAAACAACCAAAATTTTGGGTAAAGTTCAACTATTTTTTTCTTTAAACGCCGCCGTATTGTAAATTTTTGATTTTTTTTATCGTAGGTCATTGTACAGACAACATTATCTAGTTTAACAAGAATTTTTTTTTAGATTTAATCCTCGGAGAAGGCCGGAATCACTGCAGCAGTGAAGGACCTTTCATTTTCGCGCCACTGGAGATCGACTATTTCATAAAAAATACTTAATTCGTTTCTTCAAAAATTTCACTGTTTATTCTTGAAACATGTATATATATTCTTAAAATTATGAAATAATTAATAAAGTATTTTAATAAAAATTCCCAAATCTCACCTTCTTTAGGCCATTACACTAGGTGTGCCCCTTAACATCACGATTTGAGGGCATGCAGTTGGAATATCCGGTCCCTTAATTGGGAGTGTGCGGATGCTCAGCTTGTCACCTCCACTTTTTCTAATTACAATATATATTATATATGCGTATGTACATACGTACAAACATATGTACACCTACAGTGGCTGTTGGTTAATCTCCAACCAACAACCACTTACGTCAAAACAAACTTCCACACAAAATGGAGATGACAAAAAAACTAAAAAAGCGACTGACCAGCTTAGTGAAGACTGCTTGGGTCACTAGCTACGCACAACAACAAAACTACTTGCAATGAAATCAAAAACAATAGAACAACAAAAGTTTAACAGCAAAGTCAAACTACTAAAAAATAATTAAGCAAAATATGCTCTTAGGGTGTGCCCAAGGTGTGGTCCAACTAAATTGGGCTCAGGGTGCGGGATGCTAGAAGGATGGATGAGGACGTAACGAGGGGAGGGACACTATCGGCACGACAAAAAATTACCAAACAATAAACAGACAACGTGATACTTACGATTCTCGGTCGGATGTGCGTCCCGACTTCGGTGCTCCTCTGGTGAAGCCACCAAACTCTAGTTCCGTTACTATCCGAAACCACGACACTACTATCGAAATTAATTTTCCTGAGCTTCAAGCACCCTCTCTGTCAATCCTGGCTAAACACAAAAGAAAACACGTCTCTCGACTCTACTGGCGACACTTTATTATTTATTTATTTATTAATTTATTTTTTTCCTCACGAAAAATACCACTTTACTCTGCTGTATTTTGCAAGAAATCTAATCCAGCACGCAAGCTTCAGGATTCTCCTGAGAGTGTGTATTAGTGCCCAATCATTTGGCGCCGCCCCCATTACCCAATAGGGCCCGGGTTGTACAAGACACGCCACCATGGCATACCAAGTACACTGGGAAAATTTTTTCCCTAGCCGCATTAAAGAAAAAGGCGACACCCCTTTTTGCGGAATACCCGCGGGTAAAGGTCTCTATAGTACGACTCTTGGACAACTCAGCCTTCACGACGAAACATCCCCAAATCGGTTAAAGCAGATCGACTTCGCCGGGGCCCGAAATATGGTTGTCTGTAGTACTAGATTCCAGCAAAAAAAATAATACATCAAGCTACTTGGCTGTCCCATGATCGAAAAATACAAAACCAGATCGATCTTTTTGTGATAGACGGAAGACATGTCTCCAGTAGTCTTGACGTGGGTACACTCCGAGGACCCGACATCGACTCGGACCATTACTTGTTGCAGCGAAGATACGCATGCGCCTCTGTGTATCGAAGAACGCCCGTCAAAAAACACAAGAAAAGTCAGACGTTGAAAAGCTGCAACAGACTGCCGAACGATTTTTTACTCGACTTGCACTCCTGCTCTCAGAGAGCACTAATCAGCAACTCGGTATACGGCACCTGTGGGACGCTATTTCAAGCTCTTTACGTACAGTTGCAACCGAAGCTATTGGATTTCGCAAAAACAGCTGGTACGATGAGGACTGCGGTGTCGCGGTGGAGAGAAAACAAATTGTTCACCTCAATATACGACAACTTTCGAAAGGTTTCAAGACTGAAACAGACTCTACCCCAGACCCAGAGTAAATTAAATCTATGTAGGGAACAATTCTCCAACTTACTGAATGGAAGTGAAAATGGAGAATCTGGAGATTACGAACCTGAAACCCCAATCGATGACAATGGAAAAGACGTTCCTTTACCTCACCAAGAAGAAATTCGAAAAGCAATCGCCCGCCTTAAAAACAACAAAGTGGCGGGAGCTGACGGACTACCGGCAGAACTATTCAAACATGGCGGTGAAGAGCTGACAAGGTGCATGCATTAGCTAATTTGCAGACAGCACGATTAGGCGGCTGTGTAAGCTGACGCTGGACAATATCAGAAGCGCAGTCAGAATTGGGAAGGACCTCTCCGAGCCATTCGATACCAAACGAAGTTTCAGACAGGGTGACTCTCTGTTGTGTGGTTTCTTCAATTTGATGCTAGAGAGAATATTAAGAGCTGCAGAGCTGAATAGAAAAGGCTAACCCCACTGTGACTTCTGTTTTCTCCACACTGGGTAAACAAACGAAATATATGGATCTGGTAATGAACGAAGACAAAGCGAAATATCTCCTGCCATAACACAAACAGTCATCGCATTCGTGACTTGGCTCCCACGTCAGTGTTTACAGTTATAACTTAGAAGTCGTAGATAACTTCGTTTATTTTAGAACCAGTATAAACACCAACAAGAATGTCATACTGGAAGTCCAACGCAACAGGTGCTACTTTGGCCTGAATATTCAATTGAAATGTAAAGGCCACTCAGGACGAGCGAAACCCAAACTCTACAAGTCGCTCATCATACTATATGGTCCCGAAGCATGGGCGAGGTGGAAGCAGAGGAAGAGAAATACCTCCACTCCGTTCGAAAGGCCAGGTAGAGAAGGACCTGGCTGTACTTGGAGTTTCCAATTGGCGCCAAAGAGCAAAAAGAAGAAAGAATGGCGCAATATTGTTAAATCAGCTATAATCACGTAAGCGGTGTCTACGCTAGTAAAATAAGTAAGTATGCCACGTAGCCAGTAGATGAAAGGTGTCATAGAAGATGTCATCAAAGCAAAAGATGGTCATGCTCAAACCGTATTCGTTAAAACCAGTCAAAGAATACTATGCCGACTAGCCAGTAAGCTAGCCGCTTTAGAAGCTCGGGAAAGATTCAATGGAATGTTATTGCAGAGCTACTACCGAGCTAGAATATAAGGGCAGCTCTGCTCTACATATCATATTTTCATTCTATTTTTCCCATACTAAATCACCTTTGAATGAAATTCACATAGATGTATTTGTATTGTTCAAGGTTAAGTTACTCTCATGTCGCTCAATTCTATCAGTTACTCTTTATAATACTATAACAATATATACATATTTGTCTATTGAAACAATTTATATTTCTTAAAAGCTATTTAGTTCATTCGTTGTCAAATAATTTGAGGGGAAATATCAAATTTTGTAGCTTGTAATTTACGTGGTCAAATTTAATTACCTAATACTTATACCTATTTGTAAATTTTATCGAGTATAATTTAAATTGGTATTGTCGTCAACATTTATCCTTGTCGGATCAGCACTGGATCCTCTTCTGCAGACAATACATAAATAGCTGGATGTCAACACCATCAAAAGGGTTTCAGCTATTCGAACAAATGTTAAAATAGTGGTTTTAAATTTATGATTTTCTTATGAGCAACTACATTTCTCCACTGACATGTTAGGTATGGTACTTAATACTAAATTATGATCTTGGTCGAAATAAAGTAAGCTCAAAGGACTCATTTTGGTTGGCGAGCAGCAGGGTGTTGCTGAAGTTGTTAAAGAGGCGATATGTGTATGAGTATACTGTTCCAAATACCCTACTTTACACTCCCCATTACAGAAATATGCATCAAATGATGTCGGCGCCACAACAAAGTTCCACCCAAAATTAGTAAAATTTACTTTCAAGGGATATCGACAGCAACGAACTTCGTGATCACTCTCTTGACAATCCAATGATGTGCTTCGTTTTCTCCGACGGGGTTGCTTAATCAGCGCTTCAATATATAGTGGCTGTAAAGTAAAGGACAAAAATAATTCGTGACATATATTCCAAGGTAGGATTTTAGATCCTGGTATTTCTGTGAGCAGCATATTTACAGAGTATACCCTGCTTTCAAGCCCACAAGTATTGAATATGAATACTTACGAATTGTTTGTTCTGTGCATCCTCTGTGTCGATTGCTAAAAACGGCCTCATCCACGACTCTTGTGTCTTAATTGCAAGTGACATTATTACCGAGTCTTGATTCAGCCAGTTTATTGGTTTTTTTTTTATTTCGAATTGCAGCCATTGCCCTAAACCGGATGGTATTCGATGGCGGCTCTCCACTAACTTTAACGTATAAGTAATGTTTTGGTTATTTGAACGCTGTGCGACATGATGAATCATAATGACAAGATCGCTTCGGCTTTTAATTCTACCATCGGCCTGCTTTTGTTCCAAAATCTCAGGACAATGCTCACGCATCCATTCACGTCCTCGAATATAAAGATGAATTATTGTTCGAACTATTGTCAAATCGTTATGATCAAATTTAAAATTTATTATTTCCCATCTTCGATTATGCCGGACGCGAGGAGCTTTCAATTCAAAATAAAAACATAACTTGTTATACCTATAAATAACATGCAATGTAAAGCATGGAGATCAAATATTTAAAAAAAGCTAATAAGAGTGGATACCAATGTTAAAATATTTAATTTTAAACATAGATACATATCTATCTTGTCATATCTATAAATAGCATGCAACGAAGAGCATGGGGATAAAATATTTAAGGAAAGCTAATAAGAGTGGATACCAATGTTGAATTGTTTAATGTAAACATTGGAAGTGTTTGCTGTACATACTACACTTTTTATTACATATATATATATAATTGGCGCTTTGTAACCACTGAAGCGATTTTCGGCTATTTAACACATACATATGTGTACCATTTTATTAACAAAATTTCTTTACTTTGACCAGAAAAAAACAAAAATTCTTTTTGTATTTATTCGTATTCTTTGTCCTTTTTTATCTTCCCTACTTAATCGCCATTGATTTCAATGCATTTCTTAAGCGTATAGATCCACTCCTGAAAACACTATTCAAAATCTTGTTTTTTAATTAGCATTAATAGCATTAATTATCTTCTCGTTTCTATTAAAGACCTTTACCCATTACTTTTCCTGGTGTTTTTGATAGTTAGGTTTGAGAGGTGGGTTTGCCCATGTTGGACTTCATACCATAAGCTTCTCTTAGGTTTCTGGATCGTAAGTCATTTTGGACTTCACAAGAGCTACAATGACATCATCAGTGGATGATTTTAGTCGTCCTTCTCGGAGCTCGTCCTCTACAAAAAACTGAAATCTGGTCTGGAATCTTCGAAACTATTAAGAAACAGTATTTAAAGGCGGTGCAATTTGGCATTCACTAAATATTTCTATGGGCTGTAAATTACGCAGAAACCTAAAGAGAATCAAATTTCGAATTTCTGTTTGCTTTGGTTGTGGAATATTGTCTGACCTGCTCTCAGCTATCTTGCGTTTTTAGATTTAACATAAATAAATTGAAAATCACCCAATGACCAAACTTTTGTTAATCCCTTCGTGTATAGGGTGGGTACTCTACCGTTCGCTTTTTGAACTGTGAGTTACTTGGACTTTGACATCTTCAATGATATTCAAAATGTGTCAAATATTCAGCACAAGGTTTAGTCGGTCAGTTAAGACATCCGGGGTTAAAAAATTCGCATCCAGGTGAAGTTTGGTAGGACTCTTGAAAATTCTATTATAAAATATTCTAAAAGGTATGAACTGTCAAAAACTTAAAAGAATTTATTCGTGTTTAAAGATCACAAAACTCTATTTTCTCGATAGTAAACCTTGCCGTTTTGCTTATCATACCATAAAATTTATTTTAATTAATATTGTTTTCCAGTCCTTTTTTCCGTAATGAATGTTAGTTTTTATTTGTTTATGAAATGAAATGTACAAAAAACCAAATATTTCTGCCGGCATACTACTCGTGGCAACTTAACTTACCTGTTGGAAAAATATACATTGCGTTAACGTGCGAGTACGATTCATGATCTATATCTCCAATATTATCATGATAGGTATCATAGCTGTTATCATTTCCACTGTAAGTAAGACTTTTTTTTTGTTGATATAATTTTGCCCGGTCTTCTGTAATCTGCTGCTCTCTTTTCCTATTAATGTGGCGAATTTGCTGCTGATAATTATTATACCTATGTCCTTCACCATCATTTTGTATATCTACATCTTCTTCCTCGTGCTCAAAATCAGTCCCATCCGACAAATTATCGCGGTTATCTCTCGAAGTAATAGTAAAATGTCCATGTTTACTGTGTAGTCTATGAAACGATTGATATTTGGTCTTCGTATTTGATAGCTCAAAAGGTCGTTGCTGGCCAAACTGATATTGAGTTGCATGGGTTGCGGCTAATTTGGTATATGAAGGCGGAAGTGCAACATTTTCTTCAGTATGAGTTAGTCCTCGAACAAAGGTATGTGAATTATGGAACAAATCGTTTGTAACAAGTTTCATAGTATCAAATTCGGTATAATAGTGAGCAATATTTCGTTTGCTTGCACGAGCACTATTAAAGTTTCTATAAAACTTGTCTATAATGATATGTGGAACCGTATTGGGTTTAGTTATATTAGGTAATCGTGATAACTGCAAGCGCATTAAAATTTGATGCTTAATGGATTCGATGCTCCTGATTTTCGCTTTTTCACGCAATTGACAAGACTGGCAAGTTTTCATGTTTTCTTGATTTGTTTCGGTTTTTGTGAATAGTAGCTCTTGGTAGCCTTGCTGTGTGGCTTTTATTTCAACTCCATAAGCCTCATTATATAGATTAAATAGACTTTCACGGCTAAGAAATCTTGCATTGTCTGCCTGCAGTAAATCATTTGGATTTCGCGTATCTTTGAGCCACTGTGTATTCGATGGGGAAATAGTGTTGGCAATGATATAAATAGTAAGCATTACAGGTTTAAAGTTCGTTTGGATCGTAACATTGCTTGTACCGAGTGACATTAATGTCTCCTGTAATATTAATGCAAGGCTCTGAATTATGGTTTTACTCAATTTTTCACTGTCAATATTAGTTGGTGATTTTGCACCGTAATTAAAATGCTGCCAAGTTAAATTTTGCAGCGTTTTTGTTTCCGTTAAACTATTTTCTTTGCCATTCGGTATTATATTGTGCATACTCACGTCCGGCACAATATGCGGATAGTTTAAAGAGGCAGTGGCTTGACCACTACTGATCATATGTATTATGCCCACAAGTAAGAAAGAGCTCGTCAGCCATAATCGAGAAACTTCGTTTTTCCACAATTTGTAAGCATTTACCATATTCTGAAATACCAAAAAAACCTTGCATTCATTTTCATGTGTGTTAACGATATTAGCTGTAGTAGATATATTCTTTTGGTAAATCCCAAATACTTAATTATACATTTTTTTTTTTCACCACACCAGCAAGTCGCCACTCCACTGGGAGGGCATTCTCAAGGTGAAACAAAATGCTTGGAGACAGGTGGCTTATAAAATATTGTAGGTCACTCTGTTTGTTGGAAAACAGTAGCACCACAAATGGAAGTAAGCTCCCAAAATAACTGCTTAACAAGCCTATTCTCACTGTTACCGGTAAAGTAAATTTTGTTACTTTTCTTTAACACCCGAAATTGAATTTGGTATTCTGGCGAACTGGTTACAATGTTCGAAAAAAATTTGGCAGCACTGCTTTTTTCGTCCATGTCAAATTACATTTGCCAGTTGATAAAGTAAAAAGAAAAATATTCACATCGAAATGAGAGAAGGTGCACAAAAAAATTAAAAAGTTTTGTTAATCTGTTTATTAAATCATAAATATTTGAACCTAGTCATGGAAAATATGCCTGGACAACAAAAGTAGCTGAATGAAAACGTTATATTACAAATTAAAGAGCTAGTTTTTAGTTTCGAAAACTTCTTAAAACACGGCTTTCTGCACTTTTTTCTTCATCTTCAATGAATTCCAGGCCTAAAATATGCCTAACCATTTTGTTTTTTATTTTTTCAAATTTGCAACACAAAATCAAACAGTATATATTTTTGTTACCTCCTATTTCACTGGTAACAAAATTTACAGGGTAACAGTAAGCTCAGAATACGAAATGGTAATAAAATTTACTGAATGGTAAATTTTGATACCTAGGTAAATTTTGTTACCTCGACAGAATAGGCCTGTAAGCGGATATTTTTATTATACAAGTTTGGTCTGAGAAATTTGGTGGTTCTCTGCAGGGTATTCACATATAAATGTATTGGCCACAAAAACTGAGGGGTTAGCATCTCATACTACCATTTCTGAAAGCCAGGTCCAAAATAATAAAAAATTATTTTTGATAATTGCAGTTGTCCCCAGACAGGGAATGTCAAGCCCTTAGAATGCATTTCTGTTATGAAATAAAAGCTTCTCATAAACATTGGAGGGGGCTTAAAATAAATTGTAAATCCATCCATTTTTATGCATACCACAAATTGAGGGTTTTGGTCAGCATTGCGTTCTGCCATTCTAATTCCTAGGCTTCCAGTCGGGACAAATCTCATCGACATATCCCAAGTTATAGAATTTTTAGTTTTCTAATTGGAGTCAGACGGCCGCGGTAGTCGCCATTTGTTGCATACCACAAATTGGAGAAGGAACTCGGCCGAAAATCGCATTGGCTGTTCCAAAGCGCCGGTTATATAAAAAAATTAATTTAAAAAAACATTTCAAAGTGGGATGTAATGGAATGTAGTCAAGCTTCTGGGTATACAGTTACAGTCCCGTAACTAACACTCAGTTCCTACTCTTGCGCCCACATTGCGCACCTCGGACACGTGAGCATACCTTGTGCAAGATATGGTAATCTACCGTCTAGGCTAAAAGAGATTATTCTGTTCAAGGGTTCGTTGAAGTCTAATTGTTGCGTCTGCTCACCCATGGTATGACTGTGAGCGGGCGTCGGTATTGAATCAAGCGGTATTGGACTCTGGGCTTGGGAACCGCCACGTAAAAACTAGTGCAAAAACTAATAACGCCTCGGATGAGGTACCCCCGCAACTGTTTGAAAGATCACGATTGAGAGGCATGCACTTGGAATGTTCGGTCGCTTTATTAGGATGGTGCCGCGTAATCATTGGGGATGAGTTTCTCGCCACAATCTGCGTCAAGGCGAAAATTTTTAACATATCCTCCATTTGCACCCACGTTCCGACGGACGTTGTACCCGCCACGATGTGTTTTAGGTTTTCTGTAAACTTTTGTTGGTTTTGGGCATATAACAAAATACAAATTTTTTCTTACCAAAACTAACTTAATTGAATAAACATAAGCGATAAAAATATAGAGCCAAACATGCAATAAATAAACATGTGCTTCCGTGGCGAAAATGATATCATAGATTCGGACAAAATTTCCGCCTCCGAGCGGCTGATGGTTTCTATATGAGGTGCTTTTTTCATGTCATAAAGACACTCGGAAGGATTTGAACCCGTGTCTTCCGAATGGCAGTACCCAATGCTAACCACACGGATACAGCGGCCGTCACTCGGCCAAATAAATAGCGCAATAAAATATAGTTTATGTGGAAAAATGGAACTAGCTTCTGTTGATCATTCCTTTCGGGAAATTACAGGAGAAAATCGTGCTAAAGGAGGTGAACGACCTAAAAAAGATTTCAAAGATTACATATTCGCACTTCAAAGGCTAATAAGATATTCAAAGCACACGTGAATACAAAAGCTCCGAGGTATATATATACCGGAATTGTAGGAATGAGTAATAGTTTTATATAAAAGAAAGCGAGCTCGGTACCTTAACCAACCTAGTAAGTCTGGTTCAAGGCTTCGAAAATATAAAGAGAGAGAAAGCAACCGAGAAAAGCACGCCGAACAATGTAACAAAGAGGAAATAAAGAGTGCAACTATACAATGAGGGACAAACCGTGTGAAGAGAGATTTGCGAGATAGTAGACCGAACCAGTGGATAAGGTCATAAAGACAGTCGGCGAAGAACAAACAAGTTAGCTAGTTGTCCACTCAGGTTTAGTCGATGACGAGGTCCTCTTGCCAGACTACCATGCAAAAGCCAACACAAACCTTATTTGCGAAGGGCAGAAAATGAGGTTAAAGACAGAGGAGAAAGAGATCGTTAAGGAATGCTTACTTGCACGATTCGGGGTAAGAACCCTCTTAACGAGCAAACAGCTAGTCTTCGTATAACAACACCACTCAACGAAAGCGAACGAAAACTTTGCAGCTATGTTTGTACCGAAATACGGCGGACCATTAGAATGATGTCAATTTAGACAGGATGCAGTGCACCACGCTGGCTAACAGCTCCTCTTCCTCCTCCCGCTCGAGGGCTACCCACCAGTCAGACCAAAGTACGTCAGAACACGGCCTCAGTCAGATGCAACCCTTGCCCTGGCTGGTGGCATTTTCGGGCGTGCTCTGGTCCCATGCTATAGGAGTCTGCCCTCGCCTGACAGACACGACTATCGACTAAATGAGCCGGAAGTACCGGTCAGGCGATACCGATTCCTATAAATACAAGTTGCCCTGTTGGATACAGCCCTGATATTGGTTCGCTTCTCTGAAGCGAAAACTGTTTGGTTTTGGGCGACTTTAACGCGCACAATGATCTTTGGCATTCCAGTCTGTCAAATGATAGATGCGGAACAGATAGATGACTCGAAATTTTGCACAATGAACGATCCACCAGAATTCTGGGTGACTTCCAAAAATCGCCAGACATAACAATTCCGAGTATATATATGCGAGTGCTGGGCTGATAAACAGCATAACCTATACTTACACTGGCATCGGACCACCTACCCACACAAACCTCGACAGACAGACCTACCGACTTTATTTCAGCGGACCGCCAGGCATTTTTTGACTTTAAAAAAGCTAACTGGTCCGACTTCACGGAATTTACTTAGAAAGCCTTCAGTGCTCTCCTCGCTCTATCAGACGTCACCGCTATATATATATAGGTCATGTCGTCCGAACGGATGAAAGCACTCCAGAACTAAAAGTATTCGATGCAGTACCCGCTAGTGGAAGTAGAGGAAGAGAAACACCTTCACTCCATTGAAGGGATCAGGCGGAGAGTGACATGGCTTCTTATGGTATCTCCATTTAGCGCGATATATATATATATATATATAATTGGCCCTTGGTAGCGATTTTTCGGCCGAGATTGGACCTACAGTTTATACTAAGCCGCCTACAAACGGTTGCTGGTTTTTCATGAGGACATACAATTATTTTCTATAACTTTTGGATGTTCGCGCTAAATGGAGATACCATAAGAAGCCATGTCACTCTCCGCCTGATCCTTTCAATGGAGTGAAGGTGTTTCTCTTCCTCTACTTCCATTAGCGGGTACTGCATCGAATACTTTTAGTTCTGGAGTGCTTTCATCCGTTCGGACGACATGACCTAGCCAGCGTAGCCACTGTCTCTTAATTCGCTGAGCTATGTCAAAATCACCGTATAGCTCGTACAGCTCATCGTTCCATCGTCTGCGGTATTCGCCGTTGCCAATGCGCAAAGGACCATAAATCGTTCTAAAGACGTATCTTTCGAAGATTCTTAGAGCCGACTCATCAGATGTTGACATCGCCCATGCTTTTGCGCCTTATAGTATGATGAGCGACTTGTAGAGTTTGGTTTTCGTTCGCCGAGAAAAGACTTTACTTTTCAATTGCCTACTCAGTCCAAAGTAGCACCTGTTGGCAAGAGTGATTCTGCATTGGATTTCCAATGTTGGTGTTGGTGTTAATGGCCCCTGGATACACGAAATTATCTATAACCTCGAAGTTTTGACTGTAAACACTGACGTGGGAGCCAAGTCACGAATACGATGACTGTTTGTTTGATGATTTAAAATCGACGAAGAGGTAGTGTTGATCCTCTTTTCACGGGTCTTTTCCAAGATATGGGGCATGGTGATTATCTGGTCAATGGATATCTTGCCAGATCTGAACCGGTCGGCTTTAGTCTTTCACACAATGTGATTCATTTGACCTTATAAGCGATGTTAAGAACGATTATTCCGCGGTAGTTGGCGCAGAATAGGGTATCGCCTTTTTTGTGGATTGGGCAGAGTGCTCTTAAGTTGCAATCGTAGGGCATCCTTTACTCCGACCATTTATAGGAAAGAAGCAAATGCATGCATCAGATCAGTTCTTCTCCGCCGTATTTAAATAGCTCGACCAGAAATCCATCAGTCCTCTCCGCTTTATTGTTTTTTAAGCGGCCGATTGCTATCTTGACTTCTTCATAATCGGGTAATGGAACAACTTTTTCATCGTCATCAA